TGATGATCTGCTCATCGTCGCGCGCGACTCCCATGCACTTGAGCACTTCAAGACCGCAATCAAGCAAAAATGGGCCATGTCAGACCTAGGTCTAGCCACGCAATTTTGCGGCGTTGAGCTGGTGCGCCGCAACGACGGAACTATCGAGTTGTCAAGCTCGCGGTACATCAAAGACACACTGCGACGTTTCGGTATGGCAGACTGCAAAGGTACAGCACTGCCGATGGACCCAAACGCGAAGTTCTCGGCTCAGGACAAAGATGTCAAGCCCACGCAGGAGCAAATACTGGAGATGACCTCGATTCCTTACCAAGAGGCTGTCGGCTGCCTCATGTTTGTCATGACTACGACCCGCCCAGATCTCGCGTTTCCACTCAGCATCTTGTGCAAGTATATGTCACACCCAAGCCACGAACACTGGAAGGCAATGAAGCGACTGCTACGGTACATGCAGTCGACAAAGGATGACCCCCTCGTCATCTCACGTGGCCCATTCAAGCTTGACGTATACTCTGACGCAAACTACGCAGGCTGCCAGGACACGGGCAAATCGACAAGTGGCTACGTTAGTCTCCTCGGCAACAACTGCGTATCTTGGTCAAGCCGCAAGCAGGACGTTGTTGCGCTGTCGACAACCGAGGCAGAGTATGTCGGACTCAGCAATGCCACAAAAGAGCTTCAATGGCTGAAGTGCATCATCGCTCACATGTCACCGCCAATCGATGGCAAAGATGCAGCACTTATTGTCGAGCTTCACGGCGACAATCAAGGAGCTATCGCACTGGCAAAGGACAGCAAATTTCACACACGCACGAAGCACATCTTGCCACGCTTCCACTACGTTCGCGAGTGTCTTCGACTTGGCTGTATGCATCTTGACTATGTTGCCACTGGCCAAATGCTCGCGGACCTGCTGACAAAAGCTCTCGGCCGAAGCAAATTCGAAAACTTCAAAAGGCTGCTTGGCATCGGGAAGACGGAAGGAGGGGATACAGAAGCAGGGGAAGTGTTGTGCGCAGGCAACTCTAGAGCGTGAGAGTTGTGCTGATGAGTTGACAACGCAGGCCTTAAAAGGCCAGCACACCCCATAGTTGAAGTACTATCGCAATCAGTTAGCTGCAATCCGCTTACCGTCAATCAGACCTCAGGAAGCTAGGCGCAGTGTTGATAGACGCAAAGCTATGATCCGAGAGGGGATATAGAATCAGGTGAAGTGTTGTGCGCAGGTGCAATGGTATATGGAGCACTGATCCTGTATCCGAAAGCTTGAGAGCTTTTGTGGTGCAGCGGGAAAGTCGTCCCCAGTCCAACAGGTGCATGAGTCAATCCGAAGTTCGAGTCTCGATGGGGACAGTGAAATATCGAATGCTGCTGTCGCGAAGGCTCGGGGTCACAGGCATGGGTCGACGATAGATCTCCATGTAGACCTCAGGAAGCTAGGCGCAGTGTTGATAGACGCAAAGCTATGATCCGAGAGGGGATATAGAATCAGGTGAAGTGTTGTGCGCAGGTGCAATGGTATATGGAGCACTGACCCTGTATCCGAATGCTTGAGAGCTTTTGTGGTGCAGCGGGAAAGTCGTCCCCAGTCCAACAGGTGCATGAGTCAATCCGAAGTTCGAGTCTCGATGGGGACAGTGAAATATCGAATGCTGCTGTCGCGAAGGCTCGGGGTCACAGGCATGGGTCGACGATAGATCTCCATGTAGACCTCAGGAAGCTAGGCGCAGTGTTGATAGACGCAAAGCTATGATCCGAGAGGGGATATAGAATCAGGTGAAGTGTTGTGCGCAGGTGCAATGGTATATGGAGCACTGACCCTGTATCCGAATGCTTGAGAGCTTTTGTGGTGCAGCGGGAAAGTCGTCCCCAGTCCAACAGTTTTGGACTCGGGACGACTTTCCGCTGCACCACAAAAGACCTCAAGCATTCGGATACAGGGTCAGTGCTCCATATACCATTGCTCCCCAGTCCAACAGCTGGAACGCTGGCACGCTGGCAGGTTGAGAACATAGACAAAGCCGCAGCGCTGCGCTGCCAATAGTCTAGTAAAGGACTAGTGAACTCAAGCGATACGGTACCGGATGGGACGTAAAAAATGAGCCTGAGCCTTCTAAGCGATTTTGAGATGTACTGCAGATAGTTCTGATGCGCGCACATGTACTGCGTGCTCTAGACAGTCTCGTGATCAGTCTCGAGTGAGTCATAGAAGCCCTGGATGCAAATCACAAAGGGTTCGGCAGAAAGTTGTCTATTTGGTCGGCCAACGAAGATTCGCGGATGAGAAAGTTTTTATGAGGCTCGACACAACTATCTTTGGTATGAACCGAGCTGGCAAAGCCTGGAACAGGGAATTGCACGCTTGTTGCACTGCTGCGGTCCACGAACGCTTGATGCACGACACTGACCATCATCAGCACAAGGCATGCCCATTTTTTTTTTTGCCTTCCTTTGTGTCTGTCTTATTGACACCCTCCAATAATATCTGAATTTTACACGCAAAGGGCATCCCGCGAAGCTCACACAAAACGCTTGAGCTGTCTAGCTTCGGCCTGGCCAACTGAATTCTTGGCAAGCGTCTAAGGAATGGGCGAGCCAAGTCTGCATGTTCATCACAATGCGCGCCATGCGCACATCAAACTTTGATACTCGCGATATCTGCATGAAGCGCGCGTCGATCGCACCATAACGTCTCTCGGCATACCATTAAAGTAGACGTTGTTGAGTGAAGCAGAGCTACGCTGGAACAAGGCCAGAATCGAACCTTTCGGAGGACTGGGAGAAGTATATAGATTCATTCTTACCTGCAGTATAGGGAATGATGATGAACGGTGCGGCGCGAAAAAGATTTCAATTCTGGGACGGGGACTGGTTACTTGATCAATTGAGCTGCAACTGACTGTCACCAGCAATGCCATAACCGTGTGTCCTCAAATCTGAATTGCTGTCTGTTGGACTGGGGACGACTTTCCCGCTGCACCACAAAAGCTCTCAAGCATTCGGATACAGGGTCAGTGCTCCATATACCATTGCACCTGCGCACAACACTTCACCTGATTCTATATCCCCTCTCGGATCATAGCTTTGCGTCTATCAACACTGCGCCTAGCTTCCTGAGGTCTACATGGAGATCTATCGTCGACCCATGCCTGTGACCCCGAGCCTTCGCGACAGCAGCATTCGATATTTCACTGTCCCCATCGAGACTCGAACTTCGGATTGACTCATGCACCTGTTGGACTGGGGACGACTTTCCCGCTGCACCACAAAAGCTCTCAAGCTTTCGGATACAGGATCAGTGCTCCATATACCATTGCACCTGCGCACAACACTGTCTGTTCATCTGTCAACAATTCAAAGCGCGACTTCCTCAAGATGCGGTGGAGGAACTCGAAGCCGATTACTCTCTAGACGAGATGAAAAAAGCAGTATCCAAGTGTCCAAAGCGTTCTTCGCCTGGCCCCGATGGATTACCGGTCGAGTTCTATACGGCTACGTGGAGAGTCACAGGTCCAATTCTGATGGCGATAGCGAATCAAATAGCGACTCAAGACCCCTCTTCTAGTCCAGAAAAGCTCGCACACATCCACTTGATACACAAGAAAGGGGATCACGACCAGCTGGCCAATAAGAGACCCATCTCGCTCATCAACGCGGACGAAAGGATCATGTCAAAAGCTCACAACATGCGGCTGGCACCCTTACTCCACCACATTGTCAACAAGTCTCAAACTGGCTTTATTCCTAAGCGCTGGATCGGTACGAACATTGCAAACATGCAAGCGATACTTGACCCAGCACCAGTTGGAAAAGCTGTGACCTCAGGCCTTATGGCAGTGATGGACTTTGAGAAAGCATACGATCGCATCTCGCACAAGTACTTGACAAAGATACTCAAGCTAGTGGGCTTTGGGCCTCGAGCCATCCGTTGGTACACAGCCTCTTTTGTCAATCAAGCTTCGCAGGTCTATTTGAATGGTTGGCTGTCTGCACCTTTCAAGATACACACGGGTGTAAGACAAGGTGACCCATTGGCTCCTTCGCTCTTCGCGATTGCCATTGAAGGACTGGCTTGTGCCATCCGGCATCGTGTCCGAGGCATTAAGTCCTGGATCAGCGATGATTTCCCTGTCAGACCTAAGGAACTCCTCTTCGCAGATGACGCTGCGTGCGCACTGGAAGACTTCGACGACGCAGATCGGCTCCTGGAAGCGGTGCAGGTGTACGAGAAGGCAAGCGCCAGCAAGGCTAGCGCATCAAAGAGCTTCTTCTACCCGATCGGCACGTTCCGAGAAACAAGACGCAACGCCTGGCATGGCTGGAGGATTGAGAAAGAACCCTTTCAATACCTTGGCATCCGCGTTGGTGCTCAAGTTGACTACACAGCCTTCTGGCAAGAGACAAAAAGGAGGGTTTTGCAAAAAATCCGCACGATACCCATCTGGGATCTGCCCCTTGCGTCAAAAGCCCAAGCGATCAACACGTACTGCCTTTCAATGATCCTGTTCCACGACAAATTCACTCCAGCTCCGGCAGAGGTGGTCGAGGAAATTGAGAAGGTGGTCCATTTGGCTATCTGGCGAGACCGGAAGCCCAATGTCAGTTTGGATCGACTTTACACTCCAACAGACCATGGCGGGTTTGGCTTGTTCCAGCTGTCCCTCCAGCTGAAGGTAGCACGCGCCAAATGGGTCTTCGGCATGCTTCCAATTCAATCCTGGTTTGACCACCATTACAGAGCAGCGCGCACAAGATTATGGCTACCTGCATCTGGTTGCAACCGCGCCGTATACGTCGGTGGACTGTTCGACCCTGGTAGAAGAACAGTCATGTGGCAATAGCACTTCACCTTGATATCGCCTAGTGGACCCTTCATAACGCTGTGCGGGGATGCAAGGGCAGCACTACCACCACGCTGGCGCGTCTACCTCGAGGCTTGGCATGAGCTTCTCGACCGGCCGCGTATCGCCGATTACAATACAGAACTTATCTACTGGCAGGACAACTTCACGGTTGGCCGCACATCTAATGACATGCACGCCTCGTCAGATGTTCCATTCAAGTTCTTTACTCTGCCAACTGGCCAGAAAGTCAACGAGAGTGCCTTCGAGAAAGCCACGGCCTATTTCCACAAGACTGAACGTCCGCCAATCTGTCCATTTGGACAAGAGCGAAAGGTACAGGTGGGAATGGAGCAATGGAAGAAATGGTGGCTATTCCTGCGCTACATCCGCCACCGACATCCGGTCACGGAAGACACATTGCACCTCCTCTCTCTTGGCAGTCTCCATCCTGGTAGCCATGTGGGGCGGTGGCGCGATCCACGCTTCATCAACAATGTCGGCAACACAAGGTGCGTCCTATGCATGCAGGACGAGGAGGAGACGCTCCAGCACCTATTTGTCGAGTGCACAGTTGCAAAACGCATTTGGCAAGCAGCTTATCGGGAACGCCACCCATCTTACGTCGATCTGGTCTGCCCAGCTGCAACGAGGGCCATGAGAGACATCATCATCCGGAGAGCGGCCTTTGTGCACTGTGTCTGGAAGCTTCAGCGGTCTCGTCGTTTCAGCGAGGTCCAGCTGGAGGCAATCACGGATCGCGACATTGGTCGTACGGTCCGGCGAGTTCAATCGTGCGCCGAGGGCGCATAAGACAAAGGGTGTTTTAGCGGGTATGCCTGCAGGAAAGGAGCAGCTTGCTGGTTCAAGCCCTGGAGGAGAATCCCGCACTGTTCGTCTGTCCACAGACGTTCGTGAAGTCATTCATTTCATCCTACCATTTACATTCTAGACTCATAGCTACTTGATAGCTTTGAATGCAAATATATAAAAAAAAAAAATGTCTGTTCGTCTGTCCACAGACGTTCGTGAAGTCATTCATTTCATCCTACCATTTACATTCTAGACTCATAGCTACTTGATAGCTTTGAATGCAAATATATAAAAAAAAAAAATGTCATCGCACGATGACGGAGAGTACTTAGCATGCTTGACCTTTCTGCAGCGCTTACAAAGCCGTGGTCAGATGCCTCAGCTTGCACCAAACTGTCGTGTATGCATTTGTACTTCGAGAGATCGCCAATAAGAGCCTGTGTTTGCCAATCGGTCTCTCCGAGGCTCTGCGCTGTTTCGACACGGATCGTAAGCGAAACGCTTCCAAAAAGGCCGATCAAGCCGCGTGTTCATTTTTCCTTCATAAGACCCTGTTGCACAATACAAAGAGGCATCTGCCCTGGGAAAGGTAGGTGGTGTCTCGGATGAAGTATTTCGACACGTTTTGCCGGCACAGCACGCTTCACCACAGTGACAAGATCATCAACCAAGAACTGCGTCTCATCAAAGTCTGGTCTAGCAGCATAGACGTCGTTGATTGCCTGCACAATATCAGTTTGGGTTTGCCGAGCTGCCAGGTGACTTACATTGGCTCGAGCCTCGCGGCTTGCCGATAAATCTGGCACCAAGAACATCTCTACCAGCTTCGTGTACTCAATTTCGCCATACATTTGAGACAGAGGAGATTGCACCGAGCACTGAAACGGTGCACCACTGGAGTCGATGACTGCCAGAGTAGCACGTTCAACAAAGCTTTTGAAAGAGATAGGATCCTTGGCAAAGCGTGAGTCGCGTAAAATATACTTATGCCATGCGGCTGCATGTTGTGGTGACAGAAAAATCAGAGTTGCGCACGATTTTGACTCGTCGCAAACTTGGCGTCTCGACGTTGTCGGCACCTGACAATTGTCTGAGTCACCTGATTCATCAACTGTAGCAAGACGGTACTGTGGGCAGACTTTGGTGATTTCAGAGTGCTCCACATCGATGCCCATCCGCAAGGGCATGATGCCGAGGCCAAGCCTTACCTCAAAGCGAAGGAGACCTGCCGAGTGGATGACGTCCGTCCAAACAGAGAGTACCGTGAAGCTGTCGGGGATCCAAATATTCTGCAAAGCGTGAAGCACCTCGAAGCGATCAGCCTGTACTTGGGGCATGATGCGCCTGAATATTGCCTTCAAGTCTCCAATAGTGAATTCGGTCTCGTCGTACGTGGGTCGCTGAGTGTATATTTCGTTGAGGCGCTAATGTAAGCCTCCGTTGCTTGAATGTTTCTCTTACCTTGGCTCTTTGCTGTTTGTCAAGTGCAGGCTTTTCATGCCAAGGGAAGAGGAATTCGGCGAAAATTTCAGCAAACGTGATCTTGCTAGTACAATTGTCCAACGCGATGCCCGGGACTTGACAGATATACTCGTGTCTCAAAGTATCAAGTTGAAAGGACACGAGCGGCGGTGCGTCAACCGCGACCGTCACGTCCGAATAACGCGGTATCCTCTCAACAAACTTGCGCCACGCCCTCAGGTATTGCGCAGAAGACGCCAAATAGGGATCAGGGCATAAGGTTTTCGTATCTTGAACACTCATCCTTTCCTACTGCAGCTTTTAGGAAAGAGAGTCTTGCCGTGAACTGAGCGCAATATGAGTCACAAGGTGCAGGCTGATCAGAATTTTTCAGGATAGCACAGCCTGTGAGCAGCGCTACAGAAGAGAACACAGACAGAAGCCGACCAGATGAGAGAGATTCGTGCGCAGTGGCCTGTAGCTTGCGCCGATGATGTTCAAAGCGTAGGAGCAGCGCGGGTGTGGTTGTAGTATGATGCGGTCGACCGTCGACACAACATTTCCCGTGACGTTCCTGACCACGTGCTTGTGACCCTAAGGCTTAAGCAGATGAAGCAATTTCACAACCGCATCCGGCACCATCCGCAGACATGCCTTGACCAACAACACGTCAACGATGATGATGATGCTGCTGCTGTTGCTTATCCTGTGAATTGTGCGTACCGATGAACAACACGCATCAAATCACTCTGTATGCAGCTGTGGCGAAGTTGCAGTCTCGAGACTCATGGAATGTGTCTCGTCCATCAGGTGCAGGTGAGCAGAGTCATCGAGTGACAAGCTCTGATGAATCTGAACGTCTTTAGACTTGGCCAGAGCACGTCCTCACACAGGGGTTGAACCGCCTGGTTCTCAAAAACGTTATAGGCACTGCTCTTCAGTGCTCTTGATGTCAACTCTAACCGCAGTATTGGGGAACGTACGGAGCGAATCCATCTCAGAGGGCTATTGACAGTAGATCCTTAAGCATGGGAATGGTCTCTCTTCTTGGCGCTGTCATTTTATCAGTTGTGGAGCTCAGGCTCCTTTGTGACCACTTGTCTTTCCGCGCAATAAAGAAGCTGGTTCGCCGTTGGAAACACATAATAATGGCACACTGCTCCACTTTTTTGGGTCCACACGGTCGGCCATATGCTGCTCCCAGCCAAGATGCCTGCTTCTGACAAGGCCTGCCGTCACTCTGATTTTCGCGTGTTGCGCGTGAGCCGGCCTATCCTCCTGCCTTCAACTCTTCGACTGAGAAGAATCACGGAGCTCGCGAGTCTTGATTGGAGTCCGGGGCTCAAGCAGCTAGCTCCTCTTCCGCGGTTGGTTGTGGGAAAAGCGTTGGTGCAGTGCCATCAATCATCTCATCCTCTTTTCCGGGTTTATCTGCAACGCACGATCCATCATGTACGGGTCCTTTGCGCTGCTTCCCTGCGCTGCATTCACGTCAGCTGTTGTTCGTTTTACGAGTCCATCAGCTCAGAAGGCATTGCTGCTTGCGGTGCGTGCGTGCATGCATGACCTCAGCTGAGGAGGACTTGGGTTAGGATATTGAGCGAGATGCGTATACGTTGACGAAAACGAAGACTCACAATTGGTTCATAGGACTTGTTTAGAGTTACTTGCATCGATCAATCATCAAGGAGTACCTGTTGTCCACATCCAGATGCTGAAGAGGATCAGTGCTGCTCCAAAACTCTGTGGGTTTCCTTGTGCGCATCGTAAAGCATTGACGATCTGCGCAAGCAACTCGTCTGCCATAGTCCTGACTTGAGCTCGCGTTTGAACAGCAGCCAGAATCAATTGATTGGTCTTCAGCGGCGCTCTGACGCTGTTGGTAAGGGCCGAGGACTCCCGGCCGCCGTTGGTGAACATCCCCTTCGCGTAGTTGGGGCCCTCTGGACGAGAATGGCGTTCGGGAATCCTCGGCCCTTACCAAGCCGCTTCGCAACCTTGAAGCAGTAGTCAGTGAGCAGCTCAGACAATCGAGCTTGCCGGCGCTTGAGTTTTCTTGTTGTGAAGAAATCCAAGCTCTTGTGGGATGTTCAGACGGTGATAGGATGAGCAGAACCGAAAGAGATATTGGCGCCAAGTCTTGAAGGCGGTGGCGACAGCCGATATTTCCTTGTGGTAGATCTGATAGTTAACCTCATCAGAGACGCCGCTCTGGCTCAACACAATCCTACGCTTCCACAAAGGGCCGTATGCTTACACGCGATCCTTGCGCCTAAGCTATGTTGGTAGGCGCCGAATACGTTTACTGTCCTCCTGGATTGCCCCGCGCTCGTAAGCGTTGAATTTCCAAACTTCAAGCGGTCAGTACTGAAGAGCAGATTCAAGGCGATCTGCGGGAGCTGTCGAGGCCCTTTGACGAAGAGCTCGAGACCCTGGAATTACCAGCTCTGCACGACTTGTTTGCGCGGCCTGACTCTAATGTGTATCCGCTAGACAAGGGCTCTATCGGAACGCTGGTACTGTAACTGACCAAAGCCGGAGATGCTAGCAAGAAGCTGGCGCGCGCCTATCGCACTTGCTATGAAAAGAAATACAGAGCTAATCCGTCAGGCAGCAACGACACCTCATGCTCGCAAATACCTGTGCTGCGGCCCGTAATCGAAGTGAAGGAAGGTACCAGCAACTGGCTGGCTTCTCGACCTTCGACGTGCCTCGAGTATCGCTGTATTCACAGCATCGCATGTAATCTTCTTCTGGCGTATCTGTCAATTGTTGATTCGACAACTCCACCACACGACACTTGCGTGGTGGCATATTGCCCTCTATCCTACTCTTCTTTTCTGTAGATTAACCAGAAAAAACTGATATCGTGCCTTTCTGTGAGCCAATGACAAGGGATTCTGACCCACTATCATCGTGAGCCCAAGTAGCGCAACAAGGTTCCCCGGCATCTTCGTCACAAGTCAGCTCCTGCATGCATTGCCACGAAGTGCAATCCCAAATGCGCAAGCTACCGTTAGTGTAAGCAGTCACGAGACTATTGTCCGTGAGACTGTTGGCAAAGCAGGACAAGTGATCTTCCGAGCGAGCGATCGATGTGCTCGTCGCAAATTTTCCCGCATCCGAAACAAGGTCAAACGATGAAAGATTGAGGCCGTCGGGCGACACCAGCAAGTGGCCGGTTCCCAAGTAAATCATCTTGAGAGAAATTGGAAGCTGAGAAGCTTGTTCGTCGCAAAGTTGGCGGACGACCATCCCATCAGATCGCCGGAAGAGCACGACGGTTCCATTATTGTATTGCACAGCAACCTGGTCCTCAATGGGGTCGCCAAGCGTACTGAGAGAGATGGGCAGAACGTTCTGAATCGAATCGGATTGAAGATTGAATAGCCGGGGAGCTTCAGACCATGGTGACCAAACACATATAGTGCCATCATTTGATGATGAGTACAGGCGATCCCCATCGAATGCCAGATGGCATATTGCAGCAGTATGTCCTTGCAGAATCAGATCTGGCAGCAAGTCGGGCTGGAACTCAGGATGCTGGGCAAGGATATCGAGCGGGATAGACCAGTGTCGCACCGTCCCATCCTCTCCAGCGCTAAAGAAGCACAGCTGTGTTGGTGTGGTTCTATCAGTGTCTTCGACTAGGCAGAGGACAGCGTTAGTATGCGCTCTCAGTATCACACCAGGTTCTTCCTGAGACAATCGGTAAATCCTGATTGTCGCGTCTGTGCTGGCAGTCACAAGCCAAGAGTCAGCAAGTCGTATGGAGATGATGGCATTGATCCTATCCAAATGTCCACGTAAACGGCCGTGTAACCGCAGCGGTTCATCGTGGTTGGTGTGTCTTGCTTCATCTTTAGTGTCCCAATTTTGCATCACGACTTGCGACTCCGCTTGTAGGTTGCCATTTGCATCAAAGATATGACTGACGCGAACGTCAGGCTCGAGTTCGTCTTCGTCAGCCAGAAGGGGTTCAGAGCTGCGAGTTGCAAAGTTGTGGTCTGCGGAATCGTGTTCGCGTGCCCTCTGTGCCTTGTGAGGATCATCAGCTGCCGGTGACGGCACACGTATGGGCAACTGATCTGCCATGACATCCATATCGGAGCGATTCGAGCTGTTTGATGCGCCAGGCTTTTGTGATGTCGCTGCAGCAGCCTCCTGCGGCATGTCTAGACTTGCTGTCAAGTATGTGATTTCAGAAAGGCATTTTTCCAGGTATTTCCTAGATCGATCACGGCCCGAAGCGTCCCGTAGGCTGTCTTGAGATTCTCTGACTGTTTCGAGATATGATTCTGTATGCTCAAGCTTGCTGCGCGGGGTCGTCCTGCTGATTTGGACACCAATCTCTTGCTTTGCATCATCCAAGACTGATGATTCATTGAATTGGGCTGTTGGATCATTTTTAAAGCGTTCCTGCTGAAGCGACAGCTCTAGCATGCGGAGACGACGTAAGTACCAGTCTTTGATACGTTCATTGCCCTTCCGCTCTCCTTCGAGTCGTGCAATGTGCGATTTCATCTCTGCCTTTTCGAGCTCCCAGTAGTTTCGATCGCGCTCAAAGCGAGCGTTCTCAGTTTGCAGAAACTGTATGACTGTTGGCAAGGACATATCGCCTGCTGAGGAAGCCATGGCTGGCGGACTTTAAGCGTGTGTATGTTGTGTGCTGATAGCGCGATGTTCGTGTTGGACGCGGTGTTCGCAACTTGTGGCTCTGGAAGAGATTCCTCTGTAATTGATAGAAGCCCAAGAGCTGGTTAGAGCAGATGCATTTCCCCTGAAAGCGCTGCCGCCGCGTCTGTGTCGGTCGAAAGAGTGCAGGATGATGGTTGTCAGGATTCTCAGATCGCGGAATTCAAGGGCAGACTCTGCACGCCGTCACCAAAACAGCACACTTCAGCTTGCGTCTGAGCCCAGCGAGCATACAGAAGACGCTCGTTACTGGTCAGCCGCCAGGCTAGAGCCAAGCGATGGGTACACACAGCATACGCGACGATCAAGCCAGCATGGCCTTAAGATAGTGGAAAATCCATAACAAGTACAACTATTTACACCAACGCAGGTCTCCTACCCAGATGAGAAGCTCAATTGAGGTTCCGCGACGACTGTATGGCAGCAAGGCGCGATAGGGACATAGCCAGCATGCCTAGGCAGACGAAACCTGTGCCTTGGGCTTGGAGCCAGCGAGAAGGCTAGGGTTGATGTGAGGCAGAACACCACCACCAGAGATTGTGGCTGTGATGAGCTGATCCAACTCTTCGTCTCCGCGGATAGCGAGTTGCAAGTGACGCGGGGTGATACGCTTCACCTTGAGGTCCTTTGAAGCGTTTCCGGCGAGCTCTAGCACCTCGGCGGTGAGGTACTCGAGGATGGCTGCGGCGTAGACAGCAGCAGTACTTCCAACGCGCATGTTGTTTTGTGTACGTGCCTTGAGGAAACGCCTGACACGTCCCACGGGAAATTGAAGACCAGCACGGGCAGAGTGCGAGATCTGGGTCCTGTCTGCATTAGACTGTTTTCCTCCCTTGCCGCCAGATTTTCCTTTGCCAGACTAGAGACGCGTTAGCAGTGTTTCCGATGGCAGACATAGCCTTACCATGATGAAAGTTGTTGGATAGTGTCGTGTTGTGTTGTTGTTGCAGGTGTGGTCGTGGGCGAGGGAGTTTTGGGGGATTCTTCTGCACTCTCCCGCTCGCTGCTTTGTTTGGAGCGCGACTTTTGGCAACGAGGCAACCAAACTGCACGCTCAATTCAACGCACAACCAAGTTGAACTAACCGCACAAGACGCTGCAGCAATGCCATTTACAAGTGGTGACTTTGACCCCAGTTCATCGTTCGACCTTTCAAGAGTGACTTCGGTGGATCCATATTTACAGTAAAGTCACTGGCATGAATCGTAGACTCTCACTCGTCTTTGATTCGAGTCAACAGAGACCGATGCTCACAGCCTTGGGGCCTCGATGTCGACTTGATATCTGAGATCACACTGGGCGGTAGGAGTAATGAGGAAGAGCACTCCATTGTTCTCGAGCTCACTTTATTCTGAATGTTAGCCTGGATCTAGAGCTTAATTAGTGTCGCTCCGTGACAGTCCGTGGCGGTCTCTGGCGGATTCAGCCCTTCCCGTGATCCACGGCGGAGAATTGAGTACAAAAGGCTCCACGACCAGGTCGAGTTATCGGCTGCTCGGCGAATTCACGGCGATCGCTCCCTCAACTTGCACTGACAAAGCGCGCGCGCAACTGCCACGCAAAATCGTATTGCGACCTAGGCCTCACCACTTTCTCCGTCCCTCCCAACCGACCAGCTTGTATATAGAGCTCGGTGCTTGTACGACGAGGCTCCTCGAGCAATGGCCGTCGCCTTGCAGCTACTAGTCGAACAGCATCGCGAGGTCGGCAAAGAGACGGCAGCGACAAAGCCGCCCATGAATCAATCCTCCACCACCGCATTGGATGACAAGGCTCTACGAGAGCATATCAATTGGAGCAACTTCTACCGCCACCTGCAGGTTGGGGCACTGCCATTGACAATGCTACCTGCCTTGGCAATCTATGGCCTTTGCACCGTTCCATTCCAACGCAATACTCTGATTCTCACTTTCGTGTGCTACTTCTTGACGACCATCTCAATCACCGCTGGCTATCACCGCCTCTTTGCTCATAAGTCCTACGAAGGCTCCTCGGTTCTCAAGGCTATCCTACTCTGCATCGGTGCTGGCGCCGCCGAGGGTTCTTGCCGGTGGTGGGCAAGGGGTCATCGTGCCCACCACAGATATTCGGACCTCAATCAGGACCCATATGGCGTGCACCGGGGTTTCCTCAATGCGCATATTGGATGGATGCTATTTACGCCAAGATACCGACCAGGCAGAGTGGATATGGGTGACCTGGATGCCGATCCGCTTGTGCGCTTTCAACACAAGCACTATTTGACCATGGTTGCTGTATTTGCTTTCATGATTCCCAGCTGCGTTGCTGGCTTTGGCTGGGCTGACTGGCGCGGAGGCTTTCTATTCGCATGCTGCTTGCGCATGACTTTAGCCCATCATGCAACATTCTGCGTGAATTCAGTGGCTCACTATTTTGGCGATGCGCCCTTCGATGATAACCGGTCTCCGCGAGATCACTTCATCACTGCAATCATCACTCAAGGGGAAGGGTATCACAACTTCCATCACGAGTATCCCAATGACTATCGCAATGCTATCAAGTGGTGGCAGTACGACCCGACGCGCAATTTCATTTGGGTTTGTTGGTTGTTGGGCTTTGCAAAGAACCTTCAGCGAACAGGCGATGCCATCATTGAGAAGAGCATGTTGCAGATGGAGCAGAAGAAGCTCGACAAGCGCAAGGCGGACCTCGCTTGGCCACGACAAGATTTACCGCTCATGACCCTTGCCGAGATGGCTCACGAATCAGAGAACAGGATTCTCTTGTCTTTGAATGGTTACATTCACGATGCCAGCGCCTTTGCCGCGAATCACCCAGGCGGAAGGGCTTTCGTGCTCTCACGACGTGGCAAGGACATTGCACTTGACTTCAACGGCGGCATATACAATCACAGCAATGCAGCGCGCAATCAGCTCGACATGTTGCGTGTTGCCAGATTGAAGGAATAGGGGAAGACTTACTGAAGTATAGATTAGAGAAGCGTAGATTTATCAAAGAATTGCATGCCTATTTCATGTGCAATCAAGAAAGATTGCAACAGAACATACTGGTCTTTATTGAACTGGGGCCGATTCAAGTATATATTCGAAGACTTTGACAGACCCGACGTATGCAAACTCTGCAATCATGGATTGCGAGGGTCGAGTAATTGATTAGGCGGAAGAAACAACTTTCCGCGGATTGCTTTGCTTGGCACCCATGCATATCGATTGCCGAGAGACAGCTCCCGACAGCTGACGCACGACTGCAGCCCTCAATTACATGCCCTTCTCGAGCCAGCCAAGAAACGCGCATAAGCCTTGTCGTGTATCGCGTGAACCAAGCGTCGATGCGGTTTTCTCAATTCTGCGTCGGGAGGTTGGGCAGTCGCGGTGTTTTGGCCAATCATGCGACTCTCCATCAATTCTGACAGCTCGCGGCCCCAAAGTTAGATCTTCCTTGCCGAATCCGGTCTGAGACATGGTGTCAGGCAGAAGACGCAGAGGACAGGCTGCACAGCGTAGGCAATCGCCGGAGGTTGACCTTCATAAAGTCCATGGGTGCGCAAGTCCTCCAGAACCCAGATACTCGTACCAACCCTCAATTTCGGCCGCGACACACATCCTGCATATGCTTGCAATCGACCATCATTCGACTTGAGACCGCGACCGAGACCCTCACATGGCTATGGATGAGAAATGGCGGTTCATGCCAACAAGGGCCACATCAGATTACATCAACCGCGTAGGCCTCATCACAAGTTTCTCTTGCTGCGGCTTGGCGTGTCTTGTTCTACTTTGGGCCACGGCTCTTTGGCTCGATAAGCGCACAAGGCATGTGCTGGAGCGCAAGTCATCACAGATGCTATTAGCCTGTGTCTTCGCCTCTGCTATCTATGGGGGTCTATACGCTCTCACAAATTTGGAATCTGGCTCTTTTGCTTGCCGATTCGAAATGTTCTTTGTCATCTTGGCCTTTGAATTCATGAATTGGCTACAGCTTTGCATCAGTCTCAACCTCATCATGGCGCTTTATTGTCCTGGTGTCTACCGGTACAATGTTCATCTTGCGTTTTACGCCAGCTCGTTTTTTGTTGCGCTCGGCTTGGCTATTGGTCCTCTCGTTGCAAATGTCTACAGATGGAGCCCTGTCACCAATTCTTGCTGGCTGACCTCAGAGGCTGCCGAAGCTGGAGACTTTGACTATTGGCAGCTTGCCGTCATTGAGATTCCGCTTTTGCTAGGCACCATTGTTATGACTGTGAGTTTGATCATGGTAGCCTATCGTTTCTTTTGGGACAAAAAGCACGAAGGTACTGCACCCGAGATGCTCAATCAATTGTTCGAGCCCGCTGTGGCCAATGACAACTTCGACGTCCACGCTTCTGCGGAAGGAACAGTTAGCAGTCGCTTTCAAATCACCGAGATAATTGCCCCTCCAGGCATGAACATCTCGCCGCTCATGGCCAGCCACCACCCTCATCGTCCCAGCGAGTCAATCTTCAGTGGATTCAGTCAGGCATCCACCAACAGTCGTGGTCGAGCAATGAAAATGCCACGTCTGGGCAACATTACAGAAGAAGACCGCAAAGTCCGTGTGGCACGCTTGCCAGTCACACCAAATTTTGGACAAAATCCAGTCACTGAAAGTTCGCAAGAGCTTCGCAAGACTGTTTGGCGCATAGCTATCTACCCTGTATTGCATCTCATCTTGGCTACATCAGGAGCTGTCGGACAACTCATGCTTCAAGCCTCGGAGAACAGATCTGAGGCTTACCAGACTCGACTCTTCCTTTTGATCTCACAGCTATCCGCTTGGGTCCCACTGGCATACATTCTGCCAGCCTTGTTCGCTGACACGAGTCTCATTGATGGATTGCGAGAATGGATTCGCCTTCGTCGCGAAATCGGGGAGCCTGATCTTGAGGTTGCCCTTGGCAAGAATGCGCACCTCGAAGTTGAGTGCGATGTGATTACGATCACGCACGGCAAGTCTGAGACTCGAAGCATTCGGCTTGATGATTGGAGCCAATCTTTGCACGAGCAAGAGAAGAAACCATGAATTACATTTACCTTTGCAAATCAATTAGCGTCAGCATTTGTATTCAAGCATGTAGAAACCATCGATAGTGTACGAGATTACTAAAGACTACCTCGATTTCGCTTTGCAGTCTATGTTTGTTGAATAATTTACAATGCAAGGCTGGCCACGATCTGCTCAGCAGAATCCGTGGCAGTTGCCTGCTCTTTCGCGGGAATTGCGCCTTGTTGAAGCTGCTCGACTGATAGACGTGCCATCTCGATGTTGTATGGCAGCGGTGCGGTCGAGAAAATGAATGCTCGAGATGTCCAATGGAGGACTTTGATGAGGTACTCCTCGCTGATGACGAAGCCACCCTGCAATCCGAAAGCCTCGTGAAACGATCCCATGACGAGGAAACGGATCGGCTTCTCAAGCGCGTCCAGCGCGCTCTTCAAGCCATTCTCCCCGACCTTATCGGCCAGCCAATTCAAATACCCGAGACGTTTGGAGCCAAGTCGGCCAAACGTCTGGCTATCATTGAGCAGAATTTGCACGCCAGAGATGCGCTTCAAATAGCGGTGGTCATTTCGCAGCTGCGACAGGACGTCTGGTAGAAAAATTGGTTCCGAGCCATTCAAAGTCTCCAGCATCACTGTCAGATGGACACGCTTGTTGTTCTGGTCCAAAGTCTTGCCCACCACGCTGCCAAGCTCCATTACATTATCATAGAAAGTGAAACCAACAGCAGCAGATTTTTTCATCGACATGAGAGCCTCTAGGACTTGCGGACCAGCTGATTGAGGAATGAGCACAAGATGATAGCCTTTCTTGTCGGCCAAGGGCGAAATGCAAGCTGCCAGTGTCGATGTCACAGCATTGCGCGCATCTGTCATGATCATCGCATGCGTTGACTTCAATGCTTTCGTCAAAGACGGATGCAATTGGCCCAGAACGTGTTCGCACTTGACATGAGCCAATTGGGTACCCCAAAACAAGCGTACAGACGAAGAGCCGACGCCTTGAGACTCTAGCACCTGTCGCGCGGATTCCAACAAGTGGCTCTTATGTAGTGAAAGTGTCTTGCTGCGATTTGCGACAACTTGTCGATCGAGAAGCGTGCGCAGGTCCGAGTCCACAGTTGCGTTCTGCACGGTTATAGCCTCCTTTGCAGGACCGAGTTCCTTGAAATTGTATCGCAGGGACTGGATTCGCTTCAGTGCTGAAGAATCAGTCACACCAGTATTGACCGCTGCTTGGACAGCGAGTTTCACAACTTGTTCAACATCGTCCGGTGACAGGAGTGCATTGATGCAAAGTCTTCCGACAGAGCGCCAGAGCTCAGTCGCTGGAGGACCGGCCATGGTCACGGCAAGGCCCAAGCGACGGCATTCGGCTCCGAATCTGGCGCACCCGCTGAGTGTGATTGTGATGATGACAATGACAGGGGAAAGATAGTCCGAGTGCACGACTAGACCTGCGTGGTGAAGGCTCTCCAAGATGTATGTTGTATGTTGCTTGAGAGCAGCCATACGCGACTTGATCATTTCCTCCTTCTTCCAAATTTGCATCATGCGCATCTTGACAACTGTCGGTAGCTCACCACCGCCGCCGGTTGCTTGCCACTCTTGGTCTCGAAGAGTCAAATGCTGTGATAAGAAGGAGTCGCTTGTAACGATGACACCTCCCACTGTTCCGGCGGACTTTGAGAGGGTAGCACCGACGCAGTCCACATCACTCGCGCTGAGAGCATGGCCCAAATCTTGATAGTGCTCGATGATGCCTCTGCCGGTATTGCCGATCGATAGGAAAGAGTGTGCCTCATCAATGTAGATCTGGAACCCGTACTGCTTCTTCAGTGCCACAATAGCTGGAAGCGGCGGAAGACCTCCTTCCATGCTGTAATTGCCCTCAATAGCGACAACAAGATTCAAGTCAGGCTTGTCGGCAAAGGAAGCGAGCTTCTCTTCCAGGTCGACGATATCATTGTGAATAAATCGTACCAGTCGAGCATTTTTGGAAACGTAGCCTCCGACAAACATAGAGTTGTGGTTGGAAGAATCCATGAAGAAGATGGTCTTCTTGCCCTGAGCAGTGCCAGCATTTGCTAGAGCTGGGAAGGCAAGGAGATTCATCGTATAGCCACTCGTTGCAAAGTGACAGAAGTCATAGCCAAGAAATCTGGCGCCTGCTTCACATGCAGCCTGTGCAATGAGCTCTGTGCCCTCTAAAGAGACGTGCGGTACGCGAGTGACACAATTCGCTAGCACGTCGACGGCGCCAGCCTCAAGGAAGCCGAAACCACCATAGTCGAATGAAGCAGCATTGATGAGCTCATTGGTTTGCTTGCTCTTCTTCCAATCTCCCATCCAGTCAATGTCGAGTGCCGTGCCTCGAGCTCGCATCGGAGTAACCACTACTCTTGGCTTCAACTGAATACCCGTGACCACTTAGATTGTCAGCTGTGTACGCTTGTTGGATAGCTTGCTTACAGAATTCCTCAATGAAGTTCTCTCCATAAAGAACGTGCGGTGGCATGCGCCCACTCTTGTAGATGGCAAACAAGCGATAGTATGTGTAGTAGAAGAACTCCTCTGCCTTCCTGTAAAGGGAGACTTTTGGATACTGCCGAACGGAGCCATACGCATACGTCGCTGGCCGCTGAATGTCGCCTTTGCCCTGTCGAAGGTACACGAGGGTGTTGAGGTAGCCAGTAGCCCAGAGCACCACTATTGCAAGCGCAGGAAGCAGGATTGCGACAAGGGGCATCGCAGACGAGATGTCGCCAGACAGAGACATGTCTCAAAGATGGACAGATGGGCTCCCGCAAAGTGGATGCGAGCGTGCTTTTGTAAATTCTCCGATCACAAGTACGATCGCCTGGACTCTCCTGACACTTTGAGGAATACAGGTAACTATAGGGTCGGCGCTTGGCATATTAATCGGTTGACGAGACACTCTCTGCCCTTGATTGGGCCCATTGTAAAGGGAGCAGGTCACCCATTATACGGAGCCGGCTACTGCGGGCCGTGGCAACGAGACTGTGACCTTGATTTTTGCATGGACCGAGCTGTGAGCACTGAGCATACAATTTAGGCGTTTGGCGGAAGGCCCACATGCGGGCGCCCACGTCGCCCTATTGACTGATGCTAGATAGTGATACAATGATAGAGACGTCTGAATGTCACTCGAGGAGAAGAAGCCGAAGACCCCGCCAGTGTGCAGCTGGTGGCCGTGAAACTGGGTGGCCACTGGCCAGAGTCGTGTCGCCGTGCATCGGACTACCAGCCACCCCTAAAATAGGGTGCGTGGGCGCGGAGTTGAGGGCAGCGGGGGGCAGGCAAACTTGCATTATCTCACAACACGCATGTACATTGTGCACGCATACATAGCGTTCCAAGGGCCAAGGCAACTTTGGTCAGACTAGCAAGACCAGCCTATTGGCATGGCCGGCACAATGCCAAGGCTTCTGAACTCTAGAGACGACCTCGGAAGACATTGTTTTCCGCAAAAGCTGCTCGTGAGAAGGTGACAACTGCACTGTAGCCTGGGCTGTAGCAGACTAATTCAGTCTGCCTCCTAGTCAACCGCAAGGTGTAGCCTGTAGACTGTAGCACTCTTACAATCTCGTGCGAGGCTGCCAGCGTCGGGATTGAGACGCAAATGCTCGGGTTCTGCATCACATTTTCGTTGTCTCGGCAACTTTTGTTTTAACGCAATCTACACAGACTACACTGCGTCAGTCTGCATGTGCCATGTACATTGTAGACCGCTACTATACTATTGTCTGTGAGACTGTGACAGTGCACTGCAGCTGTGCAATCCCTTTAGATCCCGGTCCATAAAGGGACAAGCATAGGGGATGGCACATACAGACTTGCTGCTCCAGTACGAAGGTAACGTATTCCTGCGCGTGCGTATACGTACATGTATATGCTGACGGCGTGCCAGACAGCGAGAGTCCTTCACCCTACTCACAAACTTGCCGTGGCCCGTGGTCGGTCGAATCACTACGGAGTGGCTTCGTCATGGGCCGCGATGGGCCGCCATGGGCGTCGTAAATGGGTGTCTTGAAACTGTCTTCTTCGTCCGCTCGTAAATGAAAGACTCGAAGAAATGAAATCTGAATTCTGAAGATCACCATCGTAAAGCAGGCAGCGCTGCAGCGCACCGCTGCGCACGTCGAGACCCAGTTCTAGACATTCAATTAGTCGCGACTGAGCCAGTCATTGAGCCTACTAATGGGAACGGTGACCGGGCACCGTGGACTGATCGCTCAAAGCTGGTCTCATATGCTATCAGCGCTACAGCGCAGCATTGACTGTAGACTTTGGGCAAATGATTGAGATCTCTGCATCATTGCATCAATCCAGCATTTCATCTTTATCCAGATCTTTCTTTATCTGCACGTCACGATGCGGTACACTCGTTTCAGGCCACCTGGAGAGTCTCAGCGGATCGATCAGTAGCGTAGTTACGCCGCCGTAGTACAAGGCAAAAGTCTCTCCGATGCTGCGGCGATGCATGGGTTACGAACTTATGATGGATATCTCAAGTCTAATAAGGAGGTGAGACATGTTCAGAGACACTGTTAAAATTATGCATCCATTACAGTGAAGAATACCACGACGGCGCATTGACATTGGAATCGGCCTAAAACTGACAAGACGTAATGGCATATAGGACTTGTACAAAGAATGAGCTGGAATCATTGTGCAGCGTGCAATCCAGCGGCCGTCGCGGCCGTGCATGTGTATTTTAGATACGCCGAAACAAGTGTATGGGCAACGGGAGAGAGAGTGGAGGATGACCGTCGCTCAGAGTCACATTGTTGTCATGTCTGCAACTTCCAGCTTTCTTGGCTTATCGCTGGATGATTGCAATGCCTTGCAAGAGAGTAGAGCTGACTCAAGAAGCGGTCTTTCTCCTGTTTCGAAACGGCCGTGAGAACGCGAACGCAGCCGTGGCGGGAAGCTGAGGTCTTGCCGACAATATCATCAGGTCTAGGGACGCACATTGACAAAGTCTGCAGTTGATTGTCTCTTCGTCTGGTCGGCGGGTGATCAATTGATGTACGCACTGCGCAGATGAACAAGGTTTGAAACGGTCTGAACGCTGCAGGGCTTTATCATACTCTTGAGCGAGGCAATGGTAGAACAAGCATCAGGCTACTTGCGGCTCGTCTTCTTCTTCCTGTCACGCTTCTTCATGCCGACCGTCATCCCGGAACGATTGATTTCGTTGTATTGGCTCAGGAATCCTGCCAGCTCCTCCGCAGCTACTTCAGTCTGAACTTGAATTCCATCAGCCGATGCCTGCACGAGGAGCGTGTCATTGCTGTTTTGGCGAGCTTGGGACAGCCGCACGTGTGAGCAATCTTGACTATACATCGTAGCGAGAGTCTCCAAGAAAGACTCATTGGACAGGACTTGCTTTGGTAAGCTGGCGGCCATGCTTCTTAGTCTGTGCGGTGTCTACCCTGTCGTCTCGCGTGATGCGTTGCTGCCCACCTCTGCTGTACTGTTCAATGTGTTGTCGTGGTCGTTTTGGACCCTGAGAAAAATATTGCTTCTGATCAACCACGCAGACAGCTGCAAGACAAGACACGCAACACCGGCAGCAGTTCAATTGACCTGCAGTCACAGCTGGCTTGTCTCAAAAGTTGCAGTTCTGCAACCAGTATCGCTCAATTGGTGTGTGAAAGTACTAAGAGCATTCCCTCATAATGGCAGAGTCAGGCCCCGTCTCGCCTCAGCCGCTTTCCAAGCGTGAGCTCAAGCGTCAACAGAGGTTGGCCAAGGAACGGGAAAAGAATGCCGCAAGCCCTGAAGAGCATGCTACAAACGGAGCTGCGTCTCCAGTTCAGGAGACTGCCAAAGGTCCGACCGATTCTAGGCCGTCGCCCTTCCTCGAGCCCGTGCAGAAACGCATCCGAAATTATCTCAAGAAGAAGCAAAAGATTGACAAGTATGAAGGCTCCAGTATTCTGCCTTCAAATCGCTAACGGTAGACTGACGGAACAATCACAGGACCCTCATGAAGCAGTCAAGTTGAATGCCGATCAAAAGGAGATTCTTGCCAGGAAGGACCAAGTCCTTGCACCCCTCAAAGAATTGCAAGCACTTGCAGAGCAATTCTCCGGCATTGACATTGAGCACAATCTTGCGCTACGGGCAGAAGCTGACGAGCGTAACGCTGACAAGATTGCTGCAGTCAAAGCAGCAAGGGAGGAAGGCTACAACGAGGGCAAGAAGTTGATCGAATCAGTGGTTGGATTTCTGGGCTACGCGTCGATACTACGCATCAACCCAACAGAAGATCAAGAATACAACGAGGCTAATGAGAGGCTTCTTTCCATCTTTTATGAAAGTGGTCCAGCTTCTGTTGAAGCAGCGGAGCGATTGAAGGAGGCGTCCGACTCATGCATCGAGGGCACTGTCATCTCTTATGCTCGTATTGCAGAGGCAATGAAGCCGGTTCCTGAGGAAGACGTCCTGGAGGTGCCAGAGCAAGCAGAGATCCAAGCTGCAACGGAATACGGCAACAATCACAGTGCTGCAGGGCACTTGGTCAGTTTTGGCCATGTCGCCGAACACCCTAGCACAATGGGTGGTGGTGGTATATCATTCCTCAACGAGTCCGAGATCGAGGGAAGCCACGCCCCAGAGGAAGCAGAGGCCTTGCCGACTGAGTCCACGCCAGAAGCTCCAGCCCAAGGTGTTGCAGAAACCTGCAATGCCAACTCTGCTGGCATCGCCTGGAATGCTGAAACCCCGGAAGTCAATTGGGCTGACGAGGTGGATGCCTCTGATGCTGAGCCAAAGGCCAGCGTTACCCCAGCTGTTGCAGTGCCGCATACATCAGAGCCACCGCGCGCCGTTCTCCCGACAAAGGAACCAGAGGATGAGTTCACGCCTGTTGAAGGACGCAAGCGCGACTCTGGAACCCGAGGACGCGGACGAGGCGACCGCCGTGGCAGAGGCCGGGGACGAGGCAGATCAACTGCAACGCCCGCTTGACAATATCTGCTCTTACCGGCGCGTGATCTAGCATGTCCTATCATACAACGCAACCTTCTCCGTAGTCTGAATCAAGGCCCGTTCAACTCTTCTTTTGCTCATCAGGTCTTGTTGTGCTAACCAAACGAAAAATGGGCCTTATTTTGCATGTCTGTAGCCTGTAGGCTGTAGCTGAATGGACGAGTATGGGGCGGCAATTCGGCAGCATGCTGTGTGCAGATGCGTGTACGTCATGCTGCCGAGTGTGCATCCCGCGGTGACCACGAACAAAATATCCCTCCAGCACAAGTTGCACAACACGTACATTGTGCACTAAAGACAATAGAACCTGCACTAGACTACCTCAAGCCAATATGAACAAGTATCTTGCCGAAGCAACGCTCCCACTTTCTGCTCCGAAGCTCTCTGATTCCGTTTTTGAGAGCTTCTCCATGAAGGGCAAAACTGCCATCGTCACTGGCGCGTCCGGCGGTATCGGTCATGCAGTCTCGCAAGCTGTAAGTGTTCGTGCATGTTGAATTTCAAGCTAATGTTTCAAGCTAGCTGAGGCGGGCTGTAATGTTGCCATGTGGTACAATTCGTCCAAGAAGACTGAACAGTATGCGGCAGACATTGAGAAGCAATATGGTGTCAAGGCTAAAGCCTACCAAATCAAGATTACTGACTATGACCATGTTGTGGAAGGTATCGCCGAGGTCGTCAAAGACTTTGGAAACTTGACCAACATTGTCATCAATGCCGGTATCCCCTCGCAGGAAGGATGCCTTGACTCCAAGCCTGATGACTGGCACAAGGTTGTCAATGTTGATTTCACCGGCGCCTTCTGGTGCGCAAAGGCCGCGGCACACCACTTTGAGAAGCAAAAGGAGGGCAACATCATCTTCACGGCCTCCATGTCTGGCAGCATTGTCAATGTACCACAGATGCAAGGCTGCTACAATGCCTGCAAGGCAGGTATTATCCACCTGAGCAAGTCCCTCGCAGTCGAGTTCGCTCCTTGGTGTCGAGTCAACTCAGTGTCGCCTGGCTACATTGATACCGAAATCTCAGAGTTTGCAGACAAGAGCATCAAGGCCAAGTGGCACGAGCTTACGCCAATGGGACGCGAAGCTGATCCGAGAGAGTTGAAAGGTGCTTATCTCTATCTGGCTAGTGGAGCAAGTACGTACACGACTGGCTCCGACATCATTGTAGACGGTGGTTACTGCTGCCCATAGATCAGGAATGCTTGCGATCTTGCTCCAATACATATTGTCTCCAGTCCTTTTCTGGCTTTGCACATTCACCCTGCAATTGGGCGAGCCTGTCCATATTGATGCCTGAAACGAACCCTGTGCGTTCCTTACCGGGTGAAATCTTACTCGAGAGCAAGCACGCCTTGCTCTGGACATCAAAGGACCAGCCCAAACAACTGTTGCTATTCTGCTCGCAGGTGGCGCGGCATACAGCTGTAGTCTTTTCATTCGTGAATTTGACAGAGGTCTTATCATTTTGATCATCAGACCTAATGAAGTCCCAGTTCAGCCGCTCAAGCAGTGCCGGCGCCGCGAGCGTCTCTGGAGCCACGCGCAAGAACACATCAGCCCATGTCATGATCCCTCGGCCGTGTAGACGATCGTGAAGGAAGCGCATAGCTGACGGTGTAATGTGATGCAGACCAAGCATGGGCGAGCAGACCCGATCAGCACTGAATACCATGTTCTCGATATGAGATCCGTGGAAGTACGTTTCAAAGGCACGCCACCCTTTGACGCCGGCATCTACCATGGCCATACCGAGAACAGCATCACCACAGCACAACTCAGCCGCATGTTTGTTGAACTTGTACAATCCGTCCTTCTGTGTTTCGAAGCGCTCTTTCATCGCCGCTCGCGAGATGATGATACCGGTACCGCCGTGCATGAACTCGGCGTTGTTGACGAGTAGGATGTTTGCCGATCCGATGTACGATTTCTTGTCCGGGTCAAGCAACGACAAAAGCTCATACACGGACGGCCAAATGACATAGGTATCGTCGTCAATGCCAAAGTACCACTTTGCCTTATACGTTTCCCATGCATAGAGATATCCTGGAATATTTTTCATTGCGTCCACACTCCAGCCCTCGTCATTTGTTCCGGGAGCCTTGCCCCATTGAGGTTCCTCCCCGTGCGCTTTGAGGCGGTCATGAACATCAAGGTAAACTTGATACTTTTTGGTCGTATTCACGGCTGGGTCATCTTTGAGGTGCGAAACAATATCAACCACATCATAGTTACCGATCTTTGTTGCATAGTCGCTGATGATGATGGAGTTCTTGATGTTTCTGCCTTCCTTGGTGGAGGCGAATGTCTCTAGCTGAGGCGGGAGGCGCTCGCGCAGCACATCGCGGCCAGACTTCATGATGAGCATCACATCATCTGGTCTGAATCCATTTGGGTGGCTGATGAGATGTTCTGGGACCTGTGTCTTTCGTCAGCTTGGCGACAAGGTTGATGAATGGGCCAGGCTTACAGTATAAATGACATGACGCGTCACACTAAAGAAGATCCAGAAGCAAGCGAGGGCCGCTACCAAGCGGTATGCAAAGCTTGACCGCGGCATTGCTGCGATTGAGATGCAAAGGAAGAGAGCATCTTCTTTTCAGTCGTCTGAGTAGGGAGCTAGCCAGGGATGTCTCAGTAGTCAGGGGCATAGTGTTTGGCAAAACCCAGAAGCTCCTTATTCCCGAATGTGACCGCTGCAAGTTTAGTAGAAGCATATTCAGCTGGTCACGTCAGCTACAGTGTATGAGACGGTCATTCACCGTCGGCAAAGCTCTCGAATGTTTGTACATGTAGCGGGTAGTTCAAGATAGTTTTCTCTGTTGACTTTGCATTTTGCAACCGCTGCAATGCCAAACTTCGACGCGCCGACCACACACACCACATCAATTTGCGAGGCACTCTTGTGTTTCGCTCATCTATGGTCTGGCAGCTCACTACTCGCATTATCGCGGGCCTGATCACACTCCCCGTGCTGGCAGCTACGTTGCAGATGTTTTGGCCAACAAAGAAGAAGAGCTACAAAGGTCAGCATGTCATTGTTAGCGGAGGAAGCCAAGGCATGGGCAAATCTATTGCCAAAGAATTCATCAAGCGAGGAGCCAACGTTTCAATTGTTGCTCGAACTCAACGTACACTGGATGAAGCATTGGAGGAATTGAAGACTTGTGTAATCTTAGCAGATCAGTCAGTCCGAGCGCTGAGTGTTGACTGCGCAGATGCAAGTGCCGTTGCTAAAGGAATCGCAGAACTTGGCACGCCAGATGTGTTCTTTTGCTGCGCTGGTACAGCCCTGCATGATACTAATTTTGAACTGACAGCAGGCGGAACTCATCCAGGATTCTTCGTGGAGCTCTCACCTGAAGAGCATGTTGCTCAGATGTCGCTCAACTACAACTCCTCAGTCTACTGCGCACACAGTGCTATTCGTGCAATGCTGAAAGATCCACCGGCGCCAGGAGTACAACGCAAGATCATATTCACCAGCTCTGTAGCCGCCTTTGTCAACATCTCTGGCTATTCGACATACATGGCTTCCAAGGCCGCAGTACGCGGACTAGCAGATACTCTGCGGCAGGAATTCCTGATGTATGACGTGGGCGTCCACTGCATTTTCCCTGCAACGATCTTCTCCCCAGGCTTTGCGGTGGAGCAAACCATCAAGCCAGAGCTCACCAAGATTCTAGAAGGCGCTGACGAGGGCCAGACTTGTGATGAAGTTGCCGAAGCAAGCATGCGTGGCTTGGATAAGGGGCATGCCATGATCAACACTGAATTTCAAGGCAATCTTTTACGATGCGCAATGAAGGGCCCCAGCCCGAAAAATGGTCTACTCGATTTCTTATACAGTTTGGTTGCAAGCATTGCATTACCCTTCGTGCTCTTTGACTGGGAGCAAAAGGTGAAAAGATACGGCACGCAGCACAAGGAAGATCTGGCGAAGAAAGGGTTGATGAAACGTGTTTAAATTTTGATGCTTTGCTAGCGCTTCTCATACCCACAACAAGATAGAAGGACAACATGCTCCATGGATCTGCATCTACTCTGTCCTAGCGTCTGCTTGTCAGTCAACGAGCTGAGAGCAATAGAAACAGCTGGTATCACCACTCTTGAGCTCGTGACGTTGAGTATTCGTGAGCTCAGCACAAAGGCCAGACTCCCGGCAGAAACTATAGGCCGCATCGCACAAGATGCAATTCAATCTTGTGCTGAAGCGGATGCGTCGAGTGCTGCTCAAATTTACATTCAGCAACGCTTCTTAACGACCGGAGACGCTTCCATTGACGAAGTGCTGGGTGGTGGCATACCGACCGGCCACATCACGGAGATCGTTGGCGAAAGCGGTATAGGTAAATCACAGCTTGCGTGCCAGCTGTGTGTGACATCACAGCTGCCAGTCGCTCTTGGAGGCTTGAACAAGCAAGCTGTGTATCTATCTACTGAGTCTGGTCTGGCTACCACGCGGGCGGTAGAAATGGCGGCTTGCTTGAGACAGCGATATAACGGGCAAACGATTCTGCCAAATAACATCTTGGACGGCATACAGTTTGCCGAAGCAAGTGAGTTGGACGCACAAGATCACATGCTGTATTACCACTTGCCGCGTCTTCTGGCGGTCCGTAGAGGGCAAATTGGTTTGTTAGTGGTAGACTCTATTGCGGCAAACTATCGAGCAGAGTTTGAGGGCCGCGGCTCAACTAAGCAAGGGGAAGCAAGTGGGAATAATGCTCAACGCTGGGCGAGAGGCATGGGTCATCGGTCCAAAGACTTAAATCGTCTATCTAAGCACTTGAGGCAATTGGCATTGGTGCACGATCTGGCAATTGTGGTGGTCAACCAAGTTTCTGATCGCATGAAAGACCGTGAAGAAGGAGTCAATGTCATGAGCTTAGACCATCAATCACAGTGGTTTAATGGATGGACACAAGAAGAAGCTTTGTCGAAAGTGCCGGCGCTAGGCCTGATATGGACTAATGCTGTGCATGTCCGGCTGACACTCAAGCGGAAGGTTCTGCAGCAGCGACAGCTCACAGTGGTGTTTAGCCCATTCTGTGCATCTGGCAGCTTGCAGTACAAGATTACCACTGATGGCGTACATCATGCGTAGGATACAGAGACCGCGGCCGCCTTCCTTGGCAGTGGCAGGGTGCGTGCCATCTCGTTGCCGCCTCACCCACTGCGCCTCAACTTTCGTCACCTCCAAGAAGCATCCACACGGACAAGCACATCCTCGAGTGCCCGCATCAGTAAGACTTGAGCGCAAACTACCAAAAGACATGTCGCAGTATCAGCAGTATCCCCAGCAGCCTCAGCAGGTGCGCTTTTATCCGACGCCGTGTTTCCGAGCTAATAATGCAGGCATACCAGCAAGGCTATCCTGCGCAAGGCAACTACAACCAGCAACAGGGCTATCCTCCTCAGGCTGGCTATCAGCCCAACTATCCGCCACAGCAAGGCTACGCAGCACAGCAACCGGTAAGAACGTTTCCAACCTACGGCGCCCTTGCTGACCAAGGTAGATGTATGTGCAGCAGCAACCGGCAAGGCAGAGTAACTCGGGTCAGAACTGTTGTCTAGCGTGCTGCAGTGCTCTTCTCTGCTGTTGCGCCTTGGACGCCATCTTTTAGAGCCCTTCGCAAATGGATCTTCATTACCTAGTATTCCAGGTACAAACTTATCGTTCTGAGCTCTGATGCGCCTTGCATGTGCTTTCTTGACATATTCCTCAGAGCAGAGGAAGAAAGTATTCTTTTCCTGATGAATTCTGGCTTTGAGACGTGCGCCAATTCTACATCTCTGTGATCCGACATCTGACACACGTTGCCCTTGCCAGTTTTGACATGCGATGCAGCTGTTTTCTTCGGGCCTCGCGCCCCTGTAAGCAGCTGTACCATCATCTATGATCTTGCGTCATGACGTCGCAGATCCCGGGGCGGAAATTGAGATTTTGACAGCTACCTGCTTTTAAGCTTTATTGATCGTGTGCAAGATCAAGAACAGCTTACACATACATCCAAGCCCTCCTCGACAGCTGGCCGTCTCCTACATTCTCCCGCTTCTTGAGCAATGTCCTTCACTGGCAGTGTCGTCGAACCCGGAGACTTCTATATCGAACAATCAGTACTGCATCCAGTCGTTGTTGGAATACCGGTTGCGTTACCTTGCGCTACGTCCTGCTCGATGCTAATAGGTAGCTCATCCTCGCAGTGTGGATATATCTAAGACTCTCTCCAAACAGATTGCTTACGAACTTGGCAAAGTATGTCGCGAATTTACACGCATGTGTGCTGACTGCTAGATTCGACTGGATCGTCTCTGTCACGCTAGGATCGACCTTGTCGCGAGTCATCACAGGCACAGCAACTCAGCTTGATATGACTCGGGGTGCCATCGCACTTGCCGTCATCATTGTCTTTCAAATTGGCCTGGCGTATTCGACAACCCTTTTCCCTAGTCTTCGACCCCTGTTGCGCTCGTCCCCACAGGTAGTCGTCTTTCGCGGTCAGTTGATGAAGAAACGTATGAACCGTGATGCCGTCACCGTCGAGGATGTACGCGTGGGGATGCGCCGAAACAATATCCTGTCTCTAGATGAAATCGAAGTCATGCTGCTCGAAGCGTCAGGTGGATTCACCGTCGTGACACGAAAGCAAATGCAAAGTGCAAGCCTTGCCGATGGCGAGGTTCCAGAAAGTCTCAAGGGTCTGAGAAACTTCCAGGTATTATGGGACGAGGCGCTCGGGGAAAAACGAGGGTCACCGTCAACGACATCTGGAACAGCCGTCGAGGGGGCTTCCCATCGGCCGCTGAACATTGAGCACCAGCGGCGCTTCGACAAAGAAGATCTCGAGGCTGCGAGGCATGCTCGCGACGTATCATCATCATAGAGGGGAGATTTATACCGACATCTATTCAAATACCGCTAGATGCTATGCTGATGTGTTATGTCTCAATGTCGTGTGGGCTCAGAACATGCCACCCATTCCTCCCATACCACCGCCACCGCCCATGCCACCAGCTGGTGGTGCAGGGGATGGCTCAGGAATCTCGCTCACAATGCACTCAGTTGTGCCCAGGAGAGAGGCCACACCGCTAGCATCGACCAGAGCAGTCTTGGTTACCTTGAGGGGATCAAGAATACCTGCGGCAATCATGTCGACGTACTCGCCATTCGCTGCGTTGTAACCCATGTTGATCTGGTCCTTGTACTCATCCAAGAGCTTGCCAACAACAACGGAGCCTTCTGCGCCAGAGTTGTCCACAATGCGTCGGGCCGGGCGAGTGATGGCAGAACGGATGATGCTGATGCCCAATTGCTGGTCAAAGTTGGCAGGTTTGAGAGAGGCAAGGGACGTGGAAGCCTTGAGCAAGGCAGTACCACCGCCGGCAATGATACCTTCAGAAACGGCAGCGCGCGTAGCATTGAGGGCATCCACAAATCTGTCCTTCTTCTCGCCGACCTCAACTTCAGAAGCACCGCCAACCTTGATGACGGCGACACCACCCGAGAGCTTAGCAAGACGCTCCTGCAGCTTCTCCTTCTCGTACTCTGATGCACTGCTGTCGTTGATTGCACTGCGAATCTGCTCACAGCGTTGAGTCACCATGTCCTTGTTGCCAGCACCATTGAGGAAGATGGTGTCCTCCTTGGTAATAGTGGCTGAGCCTGTAGTTCCAAAGTCGTCCAGCGTTGCCTTTTCGAGCTTAGTGCCAACTTCGTCTGAAAAGACGGTTGAGCCAGTCAAGATACCGATGTCGCCGAGGATGCTCTTGCGGTTGTCACCGAAACCAGGCGCCTTGACGGCAGCGACTTGGAGCTGTCCTCGAAGTTTATTGAGGATGCATGCAGCCAAGGCCTCGCCATCAACGTCTTCTGCCACAATGAGCAAGGGACGTCTGCCTTGGGCTGCAGCTTCCAGAGCAGGGAGGATATCCTGCAATGCAGAAATTTTGTTTTCCGACAAGAGGATGATGGGCTTTTCGAATTCAACCTTTTGTGTCTTGATGTCGGTGATGAAGTAAGGCGAGATGTAGCCGCGGTCGAATCGCATGCCCTCAGTGATTTCAAGTTCATCGGAGATGGTCTTGCCCTCCTTGACAGTAATGACACCCTCTTTACCGACCTTTTCCATAGCATTCGCAATCATTTTGCCGATGTGCCCATCTCCGTTTGCAGAGATGGTCGCCACCTGAGCAATTTCCTCGGAGGTGGTGACATCGCGCTTGTTGGCCTCCAAAAAGGCAACAGTGGCCTCAACTGCCTGCTGAGCACCGCGACGCAAGTCCATTGGGTTGCAACCGGCAGCGACATTTTTGACCATCTCAGCAAAGATGGCGTGTGTCAGAACGGTGGCTGTTGTCGTACCGTCGCCTGCTGCTTCATTGGTCTTTGAAGCGACATCCTGGATGAGGCGGGCACCCAAGTTTTCAAACTTGTCGGGGAGGGTGATGGACTTTGCGACTGTGACGCCGTCCTTTGTGATTTTGGGTGAGCCGTAGCTCTGGTCAATAAGGACGTTGCGGCCTTTTGGACCGAGGGTGACGGTGACGGCCCTGGCAAGGGTGTCGACGCCCTTGAGGAGCGCTGCTCGTGCCTCTACGCCGAACTTGAGCTCCTTTGCGGCGTAGTGCCGTGCGGACTGGAGGCCGTATGCAGATCGCCTGATGGCTGGACTCGCCTGTCTCAGCATGGAATTCATCGTTGAAGCTGCTTGGTAGCTAGACTATAGATCTTTGTGGGAGTGCTGTTGCTGCTGCTGCTGTCTAATAAATTTCCTGGAGGAAACTTCTCGAACTAACCCGGGACTGTGCTCTACAAGTGCTGCTGCTGTTGCTAGTGCTGCTACTGCTGCTGTTGTCGCTGGACTACTGACTGTGCTCTAGTCACCGAGTCTAGTGCGAGTGCTAGTGCTATAGCGGGCTTTCATGCCATCATGAGCCAGCAAGACAAACGTACACCGCTGCTTATATTATTGCACAGACTGCTGATATGTAGTCCACAGGCTCAATTCACTAGCGCACATCCCGCTCATCAAGTCGCCCTTCCTGCGCGTCCCTTCAGCTGTGACGCTGCCGTATGACTACGTGCAACTTCCGTCTCCTCAGTCGATTGCAGCTCCCCCTCCGCTGCCGGACTTGGGCTTGCCAGGGCAGTCTGAGTTAGAGGTGCAGCAAGCTCGGTATGCAGCAGCACGCAGCAAGGCAGAGGTATGGCAGGAGCAGGTCGAGCAGCGTAGGTTGCATCGTGCCCGCAGACTAGCGCCTGGGTTCCTGGATACGGGCGTGACCCTCCTGACGCCGGTCAAGAGTGGTGCAGCGAGTGTGCCTGCTTCGGTGAAGACGCAGGAGGATACACTGAAGGAGTACTTTGAGGGACTGCAGTTCTGATCTGCTATACCTCTGTACTCTGTACTCTGTACTCTGTACTCTGTACTACTACTACTACTACTACTACTACTCATCTACTCGCTCCTTCCCCTGGTGCACGTGTGGTGCCGGGACTTTTATACTTTCTGCCGAGGTGCAAAGAGAGCAAAACACAGCGACTGAGTGCCAGGCCAGAGACGGCGGGCTGCTGGGTGATCGGGCCATGGGAGGTAGATAGAGAGCATCAGACTGGCCCTGCTCCATCTGCCTCCCTCTAGAGTAGTTATATATATGTATATACATATATATATCTCTACCAGCTGCCGGTCCGTGCTCCCCACAGTCCCGCGCCCGCAATTTGTGCAACGACCCAGCACCACATCCACCCATCCATCCTCCTGCTCCAGTCATCCCTTCCAGTCTCTTGCTCCTCAGCAAACGCAGCATGAGTACCGCAGACTACCCAAACGGACCCACAGGTCTGCCCTCCGATGCAGTCTTCATCAAGGGATTCGATGCGACCGAATTCTCCCTCCAGCGGCCAATGGTATGCTCCAATCTCACCTCCCAATCCCGGACTAACGCAACAGTCCATCACCGTACCAGGCTCGGCTTTGCCAGGTAGGACACCTATCTACAAGAATGCAAAGTTCCCAGATGCAGTGCTCGGCACAGACGACTACAAAGTGACCACCGCCTATGAAGCATTCGCACGCGGCCTTGCAAAGTCAGCCAAGCTCAAGTGTCTCGGCCACCGTCCTTACGACCCAGCAACAAAGACATGGGGCAAGTACGTCTGGCAGACCTACGAGGAAGTTGCAAAGCGCAGGGACGCCATTGGCTCGGGTATCGTCAAGCTCCACGAGAACGTAAGCATTGCGCACCCTCTCTTCCTCTCAGTCATCTAATCATGTCAGTCCCTCTCAGGCAAAACCTCTCAGTACTGTGTTGGTATCTTCGCCAAGAACCGACCTGAATGGACCATCACAGATCTCGGCTGTGCTTCCCAAAACCTTATTTCTGTTGCCCTCTATGATACCCTCGGCGGCGACTCGACCCAGTACATCGTCAACCACTGTGAGATGGAGATGATCATTTGCTCTCTCGACCACGTTGCACAACTCTTGGCTATCAAGCACCAGATGCCCAAGGTCAGAGTCATTGTTACCATGGACGAGCTCGACAGCGGCGAGGTAGCAGGTCACACAAAGGCCTCGCTCCTCCAATCCTGGGGCAAGGAAAAGGATGTCCAGATTATGAGCTTCAAGCAGCTCGAACAACTCGGCAACCAGTTCCCGCGTGCTCACAACATGCCCAAGATGGACGACATCTGGACCATCAACTACACGTCCGGCACAACAGGCAACCCCAAGGGTGCTATGTTGCCTCACCACACAGTGCCAGCTTCTTCGCTTGCCTCTGGTGCAGCCACAGGCGCTGGACCCAATGACATTGCCTTCTCTGTACTGCCCCTGGCGCATTGCTACCAACGCTCCATCGACAATGGTATGCTTTACGCTGGTGGTGCTATTGGCTACTCTCACGGTGATATTCTTGCCATCGTTGAAGACATGCAGCTGCTCAAGCCAAGCATCTTCCCATCCGTGCCACGTATCCTCTCGCGTTTCGCCGCTGCCATCCGAGCACAAACCATCTATGCCCCTGGTGTTGCTGGCGCCATCTCCAGGACAGCATTCGCTGCCAAGAATGCAAAGATTGAGGCAGGTGGCGACAACACGCACATTTTGTGGGACCGTGTTTGGTGTGCCAAGATTAAGAAGATCTTTGGTGGTAACCTCAAGGTCATTTCTTCCGGCTCTGCGCCCATCTCGCACGACGACTACCGCTTCCTGCAGTGTGCACTGGGCTGCAGTATTGTGAACGGTTACGGACTCACTGAAACCAACGCCACTGCTTGTGTTGCTCTGCCAAAAGATTGCTCTGTTGGACACTGTGGTCCTCCTATGGTTCTCAACGAGTTTTGCTTGCGTTCGGTGCCCTCCATGAATTACACCATCGAGGACAAGCCCAACCCACGAGGAGAGCTTTGGATTCGTGGACCCAATCGATTCCGCGAGTACCTCAAGGATCCTGTCAAGACTGCCGAGGCTATCACCGAGGATGGATGGTTCATGACGGGCGACGTCTTCCAAGTGGATTCCATGGGCAGATTCGGCATGATTGATCGTGTCAAAAACTTCTTCAAGCTCGCTCAAGGCGAATACGTCGCACCAGAGAAGATCGAAAACTACTTGTTGAGTTCCCCGATTGCTGCACAAATCATGGTGCACGGCAATTCTGAGGAGTCATACTTGGTTGCTATTGCAGGTGTCAACCCAGATGAGTTTGCACCTTGGGCGAGCAAGATCCTCAACAGGCAAATCAACCCAACCGATATTGAGGCCGTCAAGCAGGCGTGCCAGGAAAAGAAGGTGAAGGATGCCTACCTCAAGATTTGCGAGGCCAACAGCACAAAAGGTAAGCTCGCAGGCTTTGAGAAGATCAAGCGTGTCTTTATGACTGTCGAACCCTTCACGTTCGAAAATGACCTCGTTACACCGACCATGAAGGTCAAGCGTTCACAGGCCGCCAAATTCTACAAGAAGGAGATTGACGAGATGTACGCAGAGAAGATGGTGGAGAAGATTGCCAAGCTGTAAGTAGAGTATCTATCTAGTACGTAGCATCCCGGAGTCTGTTTTCAATCTTGCCCATCTTCGCTGTGTACTGCTTGGACTTGCTCTTCTTCTCCTTGGCCTGCTGTCGTGCCTCAAACGCCGCATCTCGCCTCAGCACCCGCACAGCGCCTCGTCGAGCATCACGCAGCTCAGCCTTCAGCTTGGCATCCTGCTGTCTCGGGTCATCACGATCAAGCGTCGATTTGCGATCAAGCGAGAAGCCATCGCTGAATTTGGGCGCCAACTGAGCAATGGGTACGGCACGGTGCTGCTGTAATGCGAGAGGACGCCGAATCTGCTTCACATTGGTAATCGCTTTGAGCAAGGCTGTCCGTGCGGTTGGGTGGCCAGCAAGGAGAGCCCCATTGTTAGCACAGATGCCAGCAAACAATTCAGGGAACCCAGGAAGACTTGTGTACAATTGAGCGTATCGCATCGACAGCTCGGCTGCCGACTGGTACAGCGTCGCTTTCGATGCCTTGCTTCCCAGCGTGAGTCGCGCTGGTGTTTCTGCAGCGTCATCCAAATAGCGCTGTAATGTCTGTTGCAAGACATAGATGACTTCAGGCAACAACCTTTTCGAGAAACTCACCCAAGATAGTAGTATGCTGCAAAGAGAGAGCTTGACCTGTTGCGCATGGTCTGAGGCGACCGCATTCTGCGACAAGTACTGAGAGGCCAACAGCAAGGCTGGGGTCGCCACCTTGTGGTAGGCATCTGAAACAGACCAAACACTACCAATCAAACTGTATAGCTTGAGATCTTCTGTGGACCATATTTTTGAAGAGAGAGTCGTGTATGTGCGTTGCCGTAAGCTCTCGATAATGCTCAAAAAGTGGAGCGTTGCAGGCTCCCAATACTTGCTCGCGAGATCGTGGACTTGGATCGTGCAGTAGTCGATGAGAGGCCGATCAGTCGATGGCAGCAATAGATAGTCGACGAGCAAGACAAGGAACTTCGCAAGCTTCTCGCCATTTGAAGGATTGAGCCTTGGGTGATGGAGAACACGTATTCTGTGAATTGCCGTCTGCTTATCTTGTTCACTGAGTGGGTCCAAAATCTCGAGCAACTGAGCCATTGTGGAAGGGCACGGGTAAGTGAACTTGAGTTTGCTTGCATCGTTGATGACGGCCACTGGCTGAGCCACGGCTTGCTCGTCAAGTGCAATTTTGGCTTTGTTCGTTTTGGTGGGCTTGCTGGGCTTTGCCAGGTCGTCAGCTTGATGTGTTGCTTTACTCGCGAGTTTGGCGCGCCTGGCGAGCTCTGCCTGAGCGGCGGCAACAAGGGCGTCAGAAGGAAGTTCGTATTCGTCTTCGTCTTCGTCTTCAGAAGCTTCTGAACCTGAGCCGTCAGTCTCGTCTTCGTCAATCTCGGAGCCTGCCATTTCGACGTCTATGCCAGCGTCTTCTCCCTCATCATCGCTGGCCTCCACGTCGTCTTCATCGTTCAACTCATCGTCTTGTTCATCTGAGCCTTCATCAGCATCACTGAGGTCCACAACCTGTACACCAGCAGCATTGACACCATCGCCAAAGTCTGCTTCTTCATCGCTGCTCGCAAAGTCATCGCTTAAATCATCGCCCTGCGCGTGTCGTTTCCGTTTGCCTTCTCTACTTGACGCAGCTTCAACCACTTCTCCACGCATACGCTTGATTCGAGCTTCTTCCTTCTCGTGCAATGCCTTGGCCTCTTCCTCAATCAGTTCCTCTTCAGTCTTGGTTCTGTCTGATGCCTTGGCACGTCGATCAAAGATGAGTTCGCGAACAGCCTTGTCATATTCCGTGTCTTCCTGTATCGCCTTGAGCCGTTCGGGATTGACTCCGTCTGCTTGCTTTGGCTTCTTTTGCTGAGAATCTGCAAGGAGCATCTGCAGATCTTCGAGCTCGGCGTCGAGTGCCTCTCGTTCGTCCGCGTCTTCGTCTGCTTGTTTTTGCCGCTCGTACTTGCCTGCTTTTGACTTGGCGATAATCTCTTGCATGACTTCTGCCTTGGTCTTTTTCCGTTTTTGACCATCGTCGCCCATAATCTCGTCCTCTTCAAGCTGTTCGTCAAAGCCACCAAAGTTGGTCCGTGCAACAACTTCAGCACCCATATCTTCGTCATCTGAGAGAGGCGCAGGTCCGAAGTCGTCCATCGTAGAGAGCGATTGGCCCAAATGGGTCAGACCATCTTCTTCGTCTTCGAGTGAGAAGCCAGGCCTCTTCTTGGACTTCTGCCGCTCGCGCGTATACCTCTCCAATTGGATCTGTTCTGGAGTCAAGTCTGCTCTGCCTTCGCCGAACCGTCTATCGAGCACGCCGCCCACGCGACCACGCATCGCTCTCTGTGCGCCTAGTGTCTCCTCTCGCATGCGCTCTGCAACAGATGCAGACTGACCAGGCCTGCCGACATCGCCCTTGAGCCTGCGTCCACCGACAGCAAATTTTGTCTTATTGACCTGCTGCTCATAAGGATTGAAGCGCTCGCGAATACCATCGAGGGCTTTTTGTCTGTCGGCACGGGTCTTCTGCGGCTGTCCTTGCTTTGACTTGGATTTTGGGCCGGCTCGGGAGATGCCACTCTCTCTGAGGGCTGTCTTGAGCCGCTTGAGCTGCGACTGGCTGTCCTTGGGCATGATTCCTGCGAGGAGAGGGTGTTGAGTACCGTCTGTTGCATTTTGTCGCGCAAAGAGAAAAATATGGGAGGAGCTCACATGGGACAAAAGCATGCACGGAAGAGACAGAAGAGATAGGATTCTGGCTCAGTCTGTTTGGGAGTAGGAGGATGATGCTATTGCTGCATAGTGCTAGTGATGTGTGTAGTACATGCCGATCGTAATCTTCACTGATTGCTGTCTACGGGGAGGATCCATCGCAACTTGCATCTTGCTCAAGGTAGCTGTGCCTTGATGAACTCAATGAGCCACGGCGTCGAGTAGAGTACAGTCGCTACACCAAGTCCCCACTGCAGGTTTGCTCGGGACTCTCGCTTTGCGCGTTCCATCTCTGCCTGTAGAAGTGATTAGTCTCATGATATGTCATCTGACTGCTGCGCGTACTGGTGAAGGGCCTCCTTGTCCGTTGAACTGCCAGTTAGTGCCTGATCGATTGCCTACTGCCCTTGCTTGGGCCTGCTTCTCCTCACCATCTCTGCTGCCTGTATTTGCCTTGTCTTGTAGTGCTTTACTGTGTTCTATGTCGCTTCCTCCTCTTCGTCCTCTCACGCCATCTCTGCACAACACCACACAGCTGCAACATTATTCCCATCCCAGGCCGCCCTATACAAGCCCTGTAGCCATGGCAGACCAGGTCATGACCACCAACGAACTGCCTGCATTCACGGGAGAAGAGCGCACAGAGGATACGGTGCAGTCTCCCGAAAGCGGCGAAGCAGAGCAAGCTGCAGCGAGCATGCAACCAGAATCAGACGACAACAGCGACGACCAACCGGAAGAAGCGCCTGAGCAACCCATCCCTACTGATAGTTCCGCCATCACATCTGCCAATGCAAACGGTGATTTTGGCGACAGCGACAGCGAACTCTCCGATTTGGATGAGGAACAGTTTAGAGACTTCGACAGCGGCGCTCAAAATAATGCAACAGATGAGCCCGCCGTGTACAATCTACCTTCATTCAAGAAGCGCAAAGACAAGGCTCGGAAGAGGCGCAATTCTGGTTCCAGTGATGGCGACGAGGGCAAAATTTACAGTGACGACGATGCACGCCCGCAGAAGCAAAAGGGAAAGAAGGTTCCGCCACGGCCTGAGGATCCAGCCGCAGCTGCTGCTTGGGACCTAGATCGTATGATTGACAAGTCTATTGCTCCGGCCAAGAAGCGCGCCAAGAAGGATGAGGAGGAGATTGCTGCTGCTATGGATGATGAAATTATATTATTGACTGAGCGTATGCGTCTGGCTGCGCAACAGGACGCAGAAGCAAATGCAGAGAAGCGTGTGGCAAGCGCAAAGCTTAAGATGCTTCCTGAGGTGGAGAAGATTTTGCGCAGTCAAATGCTCTACGACAGTATTCTCGACAACAACATGCTGACCTCTGTGAGACATTGGCTCGAACCACTGCCAGACCGTTCGCTTCCAGCTCTCAACATCCAGCGTGTCTTGTTTGACGCCTTGTCTCGATTGCCAATCAAGACGGATCATCTTCGCGAATCTGGTGTCGGCAAGATTGTTTTGTTTTACAAAAAGTCAAAGAAGCCTGAGGAGTCGATCCGCCTGATCGCCGACAGGCTTGTCTCAGAATGGTCAAGGCCCATCATCAAAAAATCGGCCAATCATCGCACAAAGCAAGTGCAAGATGCCATCTTCACCGGCGAACGCTCAGGCCATCACGCATCGCAAGGTACGTCCAAGCAACAAAAAGAGTTCAAGTCAAAAGGTGGCACCAGTATTCCACGGGGCGAGCGTGCATACGACATTGCGCCTGTTCGTCAGCAAGAGCTACGACCCATGATGCCCAGGGGAGGCGACGGAGACTCCATGAGGAAGATGAAACGCACATTGAAGACACTTGGTAGCAAAACTGGCGGTTCCGGTAAGTCAAAGTCGAATGTTAGTATTGAGGGACGCGGCATCGCTTAATGAACCCATAGCGCTACTGCTCAGCAAATAGTGCACTCTGGCTCAAGTCGTGAAACACAGACCAAACTATTATCGTTGGAAATGCTGCTCAACCGGAAGCGTTTCATTGTGTGTGTGACCGTTGATCAAGTACAGGCTTATAAGAAGATTGCTCGTTGGCAATAAAGTGCTCTCTATTCAATTGCAATGCTTCTCAACATCGGTCTCATCGCAAGCTTGGCTGTAGCCTCTGTCTCTGCACATGGTGCCATTGTCAAGGCTATGGGAACGAACAACGTAGCTGGGACAGCCCTTGGCATTGACGACTCGGTCTCTCGCCGGAGTGCCGGACGTGCTGCTCAGGCAGATACATCCGTGATTCGCGACCGCGATGTGACGACTGGCGCTGCAGGTCCATGCGGAAAAACCAGTCTTGCTGGCGCTCTCAGTATGAACGAAGAGATTGACAAAGTGGCCGCCCGCAACAATGGCCAATTGCCGACCGTGCAAGCTGGCGGCGATTTGGAGATGACTGTGCACAAGATCAACGAAGACGGGGCTGGTCCCTTCATGTGTGACTTCTCCACAGACGGTGAGACTTTCAAGACGATGCAAGTCTCCCGTAATGTTCCTGGCTTCCTGGGACTTGGCCTTGGCCGCGTGCAGGACTTCCCCTTGGTCGTGCGTATCCCGGCAGATGTGACAGCCTGTTCAGCGGGCAATTCCAAGGATACTTGCATGGTCAGGTGCCGCAACGCTGCCGTCGCCGGCCCGTTTGGAGGATGTGTTCCGATTAAGCTTGAAGGAGCGACTACAACTCCTGCAACAGTGCCAGCGCCTGATGCCACGGAAGCTGCGGTTGTTGCAAAACGCTTTTCGAATGACGATGGAGATGACCAAGAGACCGATGAGTGAATAGTCAGCCCACCTTAGATGCTTGCAGGTACTTGCACAATCCGTTCTAATGCCTACTTGTCTATGTAACTGAATGCAAAGTACATTATTTGCTTGTCGCGTAGGAAAATGTCCCCTGAACTTTCCTGATCTGACGAGATGGGCTGCCACTTCGAGCGTGCGATCTTTCGACTTTTTTGAAATGCGACGGCCGCAATCCATGAAGCGCGCCTGGTCTCCATCCTCTGTCGCAGGACGGGCGTGTCCAATATGAGTGCACGCAAGAGGAAGCTTGGGGCAGTCATAAATGCATCCACTGAACTGCCCGAGTCGTTGCAGTACACTCCAGTACCAAAAGTGCCCATCGCACCTACCCCGAAGAAGATCAAGACTGTCGCTGCGGCGCCTGCGCGCGTCGATGTGCTCGTTGCTAGTGCTGGTTTATTGCAGATGCAAGCTGATGGCTTGCTCGAGACGCTACGTCCTCGGCAGAAGGATCTCTCTTGTCATCTTGCGGCGATGCAACTTGCAAAGGACGTCGAGGGCCTTATCAAAGATATGCCTACGCAAGAGGCCAAAAAGATTGACGCTCTACTGGAGCATGCTAAGAAGAATCGGACAAGGATCCCGTTCTCTCACGAGCCACCAAGTGATTTGCAGCTCAACTTTGAATTTGAACCGCCGACAACTGTAATGTATTCGACAGTGTTGATGCGGCATCAACCTCCGTTGGTCGAACTATATGCGACAATTCCAGCTCGAGTTATACAAGAAAAAGATTACCTAAATCACCGCATTTTCTACAAGCAGGCATTCTACTTGTATTGGCTCAAGTCACATTTGCCCGCTGGCATGACCGCATCATTCGAGGATGGCAGGCTCATCATCGTACGTGACAATGTTCGGATACAGGTTGTGGCCGCCATTGATGAAGTTAGCTTCCCCGTCTCAAAGTTGGAGGCTAGCAAAAATGCAGACCGGAGTGTGGAAGGGCCAACTCCAGATTATAATCAGGAAGTGCTTTGCTTGCAAGCGACACTGACGTTCAAAGAAAAGGAAAATGCTATCCGGGCCCGTTTGTCTAGCTATGACGACAGCCTACGTTTGGCGCATCGATTTTTGTCTCTGCGAGATCTGCCGATAAGCTTGTCGCAATGGTCATGGGCGACTTGCCAGACGCTAGAAGCAAAACAGAAAGTTCCAAATTCGCCACTTGCTCTATTCCGAGCCACTTTGCAATATATGGTGACGCTAGCTGAAACGACAACTTGGGATGCTCTTCATCAGATCAGATCAAATGAAATGCAAAGGCTATACCTGCAGTACGAGTGCAATCTTGTGCTCAATCGACTCAATTCTGCTGGTTCAGAAGCTTTCGGCATTGAACAGGCATTTGCCAATTTGTTTTTGCGACGCGTTGCCAATGCCGCTCACTTTGACGCCACTTTTCATGTCCCTGGAACGGTCGATTGCGCCAAGCTGTATCGCGTTGTGAAACGCGCAACTCCTGGCAGAGTCTCTCTCATACATGTTCAACAAGAAGCAGATGGTGCACGCCTTGGATTGTTATTTGATGACGAGAAGCTTGTACGCAGTGGCATGGTGCTTGGACCAGCAGCAAACACTGAAGATGCCAATCAGTTTCGGGCCTTCTGGGGTCCCGAGTCGGAGCTTCGCAAGTTCAAAGATGGCCGCATCCTGGAAACCGTCATGCTCAGTTCGAAAGATCCATTGTTGAGCCTCTTACAGCATGTTCTCAAGTTGCATATGCAATGCTCGATTGAACGAATATATGATCAATTTGATGAGGCGTCAATTGAACAAGAAGCCCAAATTGCACAACAGCGCATGGCAGAATTTGAAGAGATTGCCCGCCTGGCACGAGAAGCTGAGGATCTGCCATTGCGCATCACCACAGTATCAAGGACATCGTCTGCATTTGGGCCGCACGCGACACTTGACGGTGTCATTGTCTTTGAGTCGAGCGCTCGCTGGCCTGATCACATTCCTGCTATCCAACGAACAAAGATTGCTTTGCTCCTCAGTTGTCAACGAAGTTTCTCGGCCATTCCGGGCGTCGTGCGATGTCAAGTCGGGTTGGAACAAAGCAAGGTGACTCTTTACAACGGAGAATCTCTCAGTAACTTGTCCTTCCTGCAAGTGCAAGCAGAATCTGGCAGCCTCTATAACTTGCGGGTTCAATTCGATCGAGAATACACACTGCTCGAGAATGAGTCGAAAAAAGCACAGCCGGACAAGACCAGATACATGGATGCTATGCGGGATTACAAATCACTGTATGTCACTCCGACGCTACATCGTCAGAGCATAGCGAATGTCGCTTCGAAGCACCCCATGTTTGCCAGCACGGTTCGCCTTTTGAGCAGATGGGTGTCGGCGCACTTGTTGTCACGTCACTTTCCACAGCATCTGATTGAGCTTTTGGCTGCTCACGCTCTCAGTAGCGAAATCAGCCCATTTGCAGAGCCCAAATCACTCTTTTCGAGCTTCTTCCGTGTCATTCAGTTCCTTGCTCACTGGGATTGGCGGCAGGAGCCTGTTGTTGCGGAGCTTGATCAAAGTCTGACGCAAGCCCAGCGTGATGCATTACAAGAGCGCTTCAAGCAGATACGGCATTCGGATCCTGCAATGCAGCTGAAAGGCCTGCTGGCTTATGGGGCTTACGATTTGGCCACCGATATTCAAGTTGATCGGGTTGCTGCTCTTCGTATGACGCAGCTTGCAAGAGCGTCCTTTGACTTATTGGGTGAGCATGGTGCCGACCTGTTCAAGACGCCACTGACAGACTTTGATATTGTGCTGAAGCTCAAGCATGGAAAAGTGTACAAGAACATTTCCAGCGAGAACCCAGTCAACAAGCTTTTTGTTGATGACCTTGAAGCACTCTTTGGTGATACATTTCTGGTCTTTGGTGGTGATGGTCATGCAATTGGATTGATGCTCAGACCCGAGCTGCGTGATCCTACGACGCAGTGGCGATTCCGGGTAAACCTTGGCTTCAATGCCATGCCCGTCAAGTCTGAGGGCGATTCACTGCAGGTCAAGCTGAACATCCAGGGCACGCTTGATGAGATTCTGCGAATGGGCGAGGGTATAATCTCTGATGTGGATGTACACATGGATCTGCCGTAGCATATAGCAGCTATTTTATAACTCATCTACAGCAAATCTGGTACTCTATGTTGGTCGCCTAACCCTAACTCCCATCGTCATCTTTCGCTCTTGAGACGACCGCGCTCAGCTTCTGCACAGCGAAGGTCTCGTACTTCAGTAGACAACAGCAAAGCAAATCACCATGTCGACTGATCTCTGCCCTGTCTATGCTCCCTTCTTTGGCGCCATGGGTTGTACGGCTGCCATTGTCTTTTCCTGCTTCGGCGCAGCTTACGGCACCGCCAAGTCTGGTATGCTTTCCTCTTCTAGACAATAGAGTGTGCATGGCTAACACTCTTAGGCGTTGGTATCTCTGCGATGGGTGTCCTCAGACCTGACTTGGTACGCTCACTATTACGACTTGAAATGGTTGAAAGCTAATTAATCCAGATTATGAAGTGTGTGGTGCCTGTTGTCATGGCTGGTATTATTGCCATTTATGGACTCGTGGTGTCTGTGCTCGTGTCGGATGGTCTTGCTCAGCAACAAGCTCTGTACACGGGCTTCATTCAGCTGGGTGCAGGTCTGTCTGTGGGTCTTGCTGGTCTTGCAGCTGGATTTGCGATTGGCATTGTTGGTGATGCCGGTGTGCGCGGTGTTGCCCAGCAGCCGCGTCTCTTTGTGGGTATGATTCTCATCCTCATCTTCAGCGAGGTGCTTGGTCTGTACATTCTGATTGTGGCTCTCTTGCTCAACACGAAGGCCACCGAGGGCGTGACGTGCTGATTTGGCTGGAGTTTGATGTTGCGGACTGTGTAGGAGAGACGGAGATAGAGGCAGCAGTGCATGATGCGTGTACTGTGTCTATGAGAATACCACTGCTGCCTGAGATTGCCTGGTACTACACCTATAGCTACCAGACCTATAGCTCCTAGCTACTTCTTCCCGGTTGCTGCTCCTTCACCTCTGACGCCCAAACACCAAATCAACCCACAAGACAACAACCACAAGAGGAGCAAAGCATGGTATGCATGGCCGCCTTCCTACTCTGCACACGGCCCATGGCTAACATCTATAGCCCGCATCCGGTGTCATCCTCAGCGACGAGTGCGTCAAAGCCTTCAACGAGCTCAAACTTGGTGCGTACAAAAACAAAATCACATCCATATAAACATGCTAACTCGGCTTCTACAGGCAAGACCTTGCGCTATGTCATCTACACCTTCAACAGCAACAACACCGAGATTGTTGTAGAGCACAAGTCCGACAGCGGCGACTGGGAGGACTTCACTGCCAAGCTGCCGGAGAATGAGTGCCGTTATGCCGTGTACGATGTCAAGTACGAAAAGGGCGGCGACGGCGTGCGTTCCAAGCTCGTCTTCATCTTTTGGGCACCAGACACGGCCAAGGTGAAGAGCAAGATGGTGTCTGCCTCGAGCAAGGACACAATCCGCCGTGCACTCAACGGCGTCGGCATCGAAGTGCAGGCCACAGACTCCTCGGAGGTCGAGTACGATGCAGTGCTCGAGAAGGTCCAGCGTCTTGGCTTCTAAAGCGGGGGAACAGAAGGCTTTGTCCGATGTGTGCTAGGTAGATAATCCCAATGCTACAGGCTGGCTGGCTGCTGTGCTGCTTTGTGACTGTGTGCTCTCTTGCTCAGCCGGCGCGCCAAGAGAGCGACAAACACAAAGACTTGGCGAGTCCACTTCCATATCTGCTCAGAGAGAAAGCTATAAAGAAGACGTGATCCTGCCTCGCTGCTTGAGAGAAGGCCTCTGCGCTTTGGCCTGCTGAATTAGCCGCGTCCACTATGCTTTCCGATGCTGCTATGCAAGAGCTACCAGCGCCACCTATGCCACGCAAATCATCACGACGCAGAAGCAGCCAGATGAGTGCGTCTGCTCTTGCCTCTGTTTCGCTCCATGATTCTGAGCCTTCTGCGCCAAGTACGCCAGCACTTGGGTTACAAGGCCAGCCGGACGAAATCGGAGTTAAGCTATCTGAACATGACGACCACTCTGGGAACATGGCCAATGAAGCACAAAGCCAGCCTGAAAGGACAAACACTGCATCTGCGCCAAGACTTCCTTCACGTAGACCCTCCTCTACATCTTATCGCGTCAAATGTATCACCTTTCTTGGCGAACGCGTGCCCATCCTCTGCCAAGCAGCAAATGGCCCCTGCCCAATTCTTAGCATCGCCAACTTTCTCTCCTTGACGGGTTCACTACGTCTCCCTAGAAGTGGACTGCTGGCAGCTGACGACTTGACACAGCTGCTTGCTGACCATCTCTTACAACAAGAATCAAGCGATCTCACCATGATTGCAAAACTTGGCAATCTTCACAAAGGGCTCGATGTCAACCCGCAGTTTCATGCAAGCTCAGCTTTCAAAGAGGGTCCAGAAATCATGGCGGCGTTTGAGGCTCAATTGGTTCATGCATGGCTGCCTGACCCAGAGACCGAGTCAGATGCCTACAAGCTTCTCACAGATGGCCCAGGGGCACAGGGCTACGAGGCAGCTCAGGCATTTGTCCTGAACAATATCGAGTCACAGACTCCAGAAGGCGAGCAGGCGCTCTTGCTTCAACAGTGGTTTGATACGCATGCAACGTGTATGACTGCATTTGGACTGCAAGCGTTAAGGGAGAGTATGCAATCAGGGGAATTGCGCATCCTCTTCTACAACTCCCACTTCAGTCTGCTTCTCAAGCACTTTGAGTCGGATGGTCTCTTTTGTCTAGTCTCGGATGCAGGCTATGCACACACTGGTGACGATGTTGTCTGGGAATCATTGACGCAGGGGGAGGCTTCGGTCATGCTGTCAAGTGACTTTGTCCCTCGAGATGTACTGTCGTCCTCGCGCAAAGAGGACGCTTTTGGCCAACAAGCTCCTTCTCCCGCGCCAGCTCATCAAGAAGGTAGTGAAGATGCTGCGTACGCAAGAGCACTGCAAGAAGAAGACGACTTGGCGGTCGCACAGCGACTCCAGGATGAGGAGCAAGCAAACTATGCCCGACGTGAACGGGATCATCAGAGACGACAGCAACAACAAGTAGAGCAACAACAGCAGTCATCACATCAAGGAGCCAATGCCGGACTCCAAGGACATACACAACAAGCAATGCAGCCTCAGCGGCAGATCAAGGACACTGTGCCAAATCAACCGCCTAGATCTGCAAAGCGCGGCAAGAAGGAGTGTATCATTATGTAGGTATGAAAACGAGGTCAACGCATATTACAACCGCGCCTGCCTGATCTTGTGGTCGAGCATGCGATGTCTATGGGCTTCAGCCTCAGCAATGGCTGCTCGCATCTGTTGTTGCTTCTCCTCTAGACTACGCACAGCCAGTAATGTCGTGTCATGATAAAGTGATTCCATCACATCCGGTAGTGCCCTCATGAACAAAGCTGAACCGCTCGCTTGGCCAAGTGTCGCCCGCTTGATGAAATTGGCCATGATATCAAGCGACACAAGGGCAGACTTATGCTGGCCGCCAAAGACTTGAAAGACATGAGGCATGGACCTGTACTCATCGTAAAGCAGACAGTCACTCACCTCTGTCAGCGCACGAGCAAAGTCGCGATTCTCATCGAGCAGAACTTCCTGGCTCCCCATCTGAATGCAAAGCCTCGGTGACGCTTGCAGCCGCTTCCACAGCTCAGGAACGAGGACGGGTGATACCAGCGGATGCAATAGCAGCTCATCACTCGTATATACCTGTCGTGTACGCCCCTGTAAAGGCCAGCTTGGCGAATCTCTGTGCTGTTTCAACAGTGTTCCAGCCTCGCGAGGGTACATGGGTGGCAGATAGTCGTGCTCCTTTGTCCTACAGCTCGGGAAGGAATGTGTCAGGTCAAGCCAAGGCGAGATGAGTACAAGTCCAGCAGGGAGAGGCTGCTTTTGCTGCACAAGCAATGTGTACAGGGCAATAGCCAAATTGCCACCGGCCGAATCTCCGCCCAGTACGATCTGATTAGCAGAAACCGCTTGATGCACAGCATCGGCTGGTGGATGCAAGAGATACTGATATGCTGCAAGCGCGTCTGTCAATGCACTCGGGAATTGATTTTGCGGTGAAAGACGATACCGCACAGACAGCGCACGTCCCTGAAAACGATTCTGTAGGCGCGCTACAAGCGACCGATGGCCTTCTTCTGTACCAAACATAAACCCACCACCGTGGAAGTACAATAGAACAGTCTCCTTGTCTTTGCAGCCGTCAAGATAACTTTCGTAGGTGTTCGTGTCGTTCAACCGCGTCCCTTGCCATTCAGCCTTGCACTCAGCAAAGACGCTTTTGGGTAATTGTTGCTTGTCTATTCCTTCGGGACAGGTTCCAAGCACAGCAGCATCAACCATTGCTTCAATCTCCGCTGGCTGTTGGCTTGTGATTTTGACTGGAACGGCAATTTCATGTTTGCGTGGTGGCTGCGGCCCGCCAAGAAGTCCCTGTGTTTGCTCTAGCGTCACTGTATCAACGTCTTCAGTGGACTTCTTGATGACTTGTGTCACGAGGTGTATGCGTAATGACAAGTCTGCGAGCTCCTGCCTGGTCTTTGCATCGCGGAATGATGACAGGAGGAAGTAGTGGAAGGTCGAGTAAAAGACAAATGGCAGCTGCTTGACGCAATAGATGAGGAACTTGACTCGTTTGGCGAGACTCATATCTGCCTAGTAGCTATGCTTGATTCGTGGAGAGGGATGCTGTGTCTATCTATGTCTGTCTATTTGGTTTTGCTGGTGAGCTGTCAACTTGTCAGCCGAAGTGGAGCCGCCGACGGCCCCACACAAATGTCAGCCCATCTAGTCACGTCAGTGGTCACCAATGTACATTAAAGTAGTGACCTGCCTGCCTGGTGCAAGGCGCATACTACCTGTCAGTCACGCAGCTCCGTCGAGGAGTTAACAGAATCCCCATAATTGCGAAGACGTTTTCCACTTGCATCTACATGGTCCAGCCACCATCTCTGACTCTCAAAAGCCTTGCCAACCACAAGGATCTCGTCTGAAGCCTGCTGTTGGCTATAATTCAAGCCTTGTTTCTTCGAGTCTTGAAAATGGTAGGCCAAGATGTGCGTGCCATACCCTGAACCACGGCTTGGGAAGACTGAGGCTGTAATTACGCTCGGCGACGACCCGTTTCGACGACTTCTAGCAATTTGTACTTGTAAGCCTGCGTCGAGAATGCGACTGATGGCAGTGTCGTTCGGTGGCCTCTTGATGCACAATCGGTCTTGAGGGGGCATCCACGACATCTGGCACTTTTGAGTGAGCTGAAGCTGCTGGCCAACGCCAACGCGTACACCAGGCTCGTCAGAGAATGCAGGTAACGATGCCAGCGCTTCGATGGTCTTCCTTGTGGAATTCGCAGGGACTCTGATGATGTCCGACCGGGTCAGAGCGATTGCACTCGGGTTCGCGGCCAAGTCCAGATCAACGGCGAGAAGTCCAGGTAGAACGATCCAGCTCACATCATCCGATGATGGCGCATCTCGCATGAAGGCTACTGTTTGTGCGCCCTCATCTGCCGCCAGATAATGCCGCTCAAAGGTGTGTCTGTCAAAAGTCAGACAGAACCGATCAGGACTTGCAAATATGTGCATTCGAAGCCACTGTCGAGCAACACGAGGCTCGTTCCGGAACCCAGTGAGGTAGCCCTTCAACCAAATGTGCGTCCAGCTAGCTTGCCCACCGGATGAAAATGTGATGACATCGTACGCTAACGCGCTCTTGGGAAACAAAAGGTCCCAGCGCCCGACAAAGACGTCCAGATCAATTCGAAACCAGTGCGAAAAATGCTGCTCAAACTGCGACCTAAACAGGTGGCCGAACAAGGTCGGATATAAAGGCTTGAGATTGTTCCATGTCGCACCACCAGTTTGAACATAGTCGGCGAGGTGGCGTCGAACACGATCTAGTTCATCTTTGCCAGTGCATTGCCAGTCTCTGCACATTGCTTCCGCCGCGTCGTGGATGATATCTTCCATTTCTGCACAATAGACACGATGCCGTGTATCTTGAAAATACACAGACTGGCCCTGTCGAGGACAGAATTCTGGCGTATCATACGTCGAAACCAGTAGGAAGCTCAGACTCGGATTTAGACTGATTCGCCGCATGAATTCAGGAAAATAATCTGGCATGGGAGATCCAGTCCAGACGTTGACCAAAAGCACATTGCCATTCTTGACTACGAAAGAAGGTGTATAGGATGCTACCCTTGGTGGTTTGAAGAAAGAAATGTCGATGAGGCGTGGTTGAGTATTGTAGAAGGAGAATAGCAACAAGATTGGTCCAAGTAAAAGTGCTGCGTCGCGTCGCCGAATCATTGATCAGTTGTATATGGCTCGAAACCCGTCACTTAAGCTTCAACGTGAAACAGGTGTAGCTGTCAAGATGAGACCGTAGACGCGTCTGCTTGCTTTAGAGTTTACTAGAATAAGGGGCAGCGCACCTGCTCTATTTGTATCCTCCACTTGCCAGCGTGTCAGCTGAACCCCCTGACCGTTGCATCATCAATGGAATCCTGAAACAATCAACGTCCACCTAGTTCATTGTCGTCCATGAGTCTAACAAGGCTTGCGACGAAGACCGAGCATTGCCATAAACTTTTGCGACATCAGCCGACTTAGTGCTTTGGTTGTCAGATCTGCAATCATGTCTCCAGTGGTAACGTATCCGAGTGACATGCGAGCACGCCGTACACAGTCTCGCACAAAATGATATTTCGTCCGTATGTGCTTCGTGCGAGTATGTAAACGAGCATCATTTGCCAAGGCAATAGCACCTTGTTTGTCGCCATGGACATGCGATGTCAATCGCGCGTCGGTGGCACTGAAGTCGCGCAGTAGATGTTGCATGATGACTTTGACCCATTCAAGCTCCTTTGTCGCGTTGGCCAGCCCGATATATGCCGTCTCCGTGATAGACTGCGCAATGACCTCTTGCTTCCGACTGCTCCAAGAAATGCAATTCGGGCTAAGCATGACGATGTAGCCAGTGGCTGACTTGCTGTTGCCAATCTCGCCAGCATAGTCGGAATCTGAAGAAACGTGCACTCCAAGTCGCCGTTCTTGAAGACAAGACCTACGTTCTTCGTGTGCTGTACATTGCGTAGGACTTGCTTCGCTGCCCGCCAATGTTCATAGCTCGGCTTTGCCATGAAGCGATTGAGGACACCCATGGATTGTGCCAAATCTGGTCGTGTTGCGGTCAAGAGCTACATCAAGCTCCCGATGACGGCCATGTACGGTATGGTTGCCATCTCTTCTCGTTCGGCTGGGGTGGGTCAAGGCATCTAGTACCTGTCAGTCACGCAGCTCCGTCAAGGGAGCAACAGAATCCCCGTACCTGCGAAGACGTCTTCCATGCGCATCTACATGGTCCAGCCACCATCTCTGACTCGCAAAAGTCTTGCCAACCACAAGGATCTCGTCTGTAGCCTGCTGTTGGCCATAATTCAAGCCTTGGTTCTTCGAGGCTTGAAAATGGTAGGCCAAGATGTGCGTGCCATACCCAAGACCACGACTTGGAAAGACTGAGGCAGTAATTTCGCTCGGCGTTGATCCGCTTCGACGATCTCTTGCAATTTGTACTTGTAAGCCTGCGTCGAGAATGCGACTGATTGCAGTGTGCTTGGGTGGCCTCTTGATGCACAACCGGTCTTGAGGGGCCAGCCACGACATCTGACACTTTTGAGTGAGCTGAAGCTGCTGGCCCATGCCAACACGTACACCAGGCTCATCGGAGAATGCAGGTAATAGTGTGAGCGCTTCGATAGTCTTCCTTGTAGACCTTGCAGGAACTCTGAGGATGTCCAAGTGGGCCAAGGCAATTGCACTCGGATCCGCCTCCAAGTCTAGATCAACGGCGAGAAGTCCAGGTAGAACGACCCAGCTAAGATCATCCGATAATGGCGCATCTCGCATAAAGGCTATTGTTTGTGCACCCTCGTCTGCCGCAGCACCTTGCCGCTGAATACGATCAAAGGTGTGCCTGTTGAAAGCCCGACAGAATCGATCAGGATTTGCAAACATGTGCATTCGAAGCCATTGCCGGGCAACACGAGGCTCATTCCGGAAGCCAGTGAGGTAGCCCTTCAACCAAATGTGCGTCCAGCTAGCTTGCCCACCGGATGAAAACGTGATGACATCGTACGCCAACGCGCTTTTGGGAAATAACAGGTCCCAGCGCCCGAGAAAGACGTCCAGATCAATTCGAAACCAGTGCGAAAAGTGCTGCTCAAAGTGCGACCTAAACAGGTGGCCGAACAAAATCGGATATAAAGGCTTGAGATTGTTCCATGCCTGACCATCAATTTGTACATAGTCGGCGAGGTGACGTCGAACACGATAAAATTCATCTCTGTCGCTGCATTCCCAGTCTCTGCACATTGCGTGCGCCGCGTCGTGGATGATATCTTCCATCTCTGCACAATAAACGCGATGCCGTGTGTCTTGGAAATAAACGGACTGGCCCCGTCGAGGACAGAATTCTGGCGTATCATACGTCGATACCATCAAGAAACTCAGACTCGGATTTAGACTGATTCGCCGCATGAACTCAGGGAAATAATCTGGCATGGGAGATCCGATCCAGACGTTGACCAAAAGTAAGTTGTCATTCTCGACCACGGAAGAGGGTGTGTTGGACGCTACCGTTGATGGCTCGATCAAAGAAATGTCGATGATGCGTAGTCGAGTACTGTAGAACCAGAACAGCAACAAGATTGGTCCAAGCAAAAGTGCTGTGTCGCGTCGCCAAGTCATTGGTCGGTTGTGTATGGCCATGACCCATTTTTAAGCTCCAGTGTGAAACATGTCTAGCTGCCATGCTGAAACCAAAATTGTGTCTGCTTGAAGTATTGCAGCAAATGAGAGCAGCTGAGACGGACCAACACGTCAGTTTGCCAGCAAACTATCCCAACGGCTCGCATTGAGAGCTTCAATCACGTCGCGCATGCCTTCAATACTGTAGAGAATAGTGCCTCCGCCTAGACAGACATCGCCAGAGTACACAGATAGGTGCTGGCCAGGCACAACACTGCGTTGCGGCGTTTGGAAGAATACGCCAACTTTGCCTGAACCATAGTCATGTACAATGCAAGGCACTGGCTCCTGTAGATGTCGCAGCTGCACGCAGAGATTTTCGGGTAGTCCAGGATAGTTGCTCCACGACCAATCTGATGAAACAGCACCCATCTTGTACAATTTGGGATGCTCTGCGCCCTTCACGAGAGTGATTGTCGCCTGCTCCACGTCTTTTTCTGCGACGAACCACTTGCCCTGCAAGTGCGGTGTTCCCTGGTCTAGTTGGACACCAGACCTCTCTCCAATTGTAGCTGACCAAAGTCCAGTGTTCGCAGTCAAGAGCAAGTTCCCTTGAGTATCGACGTACTTAACCTCACTGCGCTTCAAAAAAGATGACAGGAAGTCGCGAAAGCGACTCGTTTCCGGTGATACAAAACACAGTCCCTGTGAATCTGGTTTCTTAGCGACATGTAAGCCGAAATCTTTTGCAAGGGCCCTGACTTGGTTCTTTGTATGGTGTCCAAGCGGAAAGCACGTTCTTGATAGCGCTTCCTGTGAGATGGTCGACAAAAAGTATGTTTGATCTTTACTGCTGTCCGCTGGCCTGACTAAATGTGTTTTGCCCTCTCGGAAGTCGAAGACAGCTCGCGCGTAATGGCCTGTGGCGAACCACCACCGTTCGCCGGCACTCACTAAGCGCCGTTTGGCAATCTCCTCTTGCAGAACACCGAACTTCACCTCGGAATTGCAAGCAACATCAGGATTAGGCGTCGCACCTTGTTCAAATTGTCGCAATGCTGGTTCGAAGACGCGAACCCAGTAGTCTTTGCTTAAATCGACTCGGACTATAGGGATCCTGAGGTGATCTCCTACTTTTTGTACGTCACGCCAATCTTTTTGGGAGCTGCAGCCACCAGGTGACTTGCTATCATCCTGCCAATTGTGCATAAAGATACCTGTCACGTCGAACCCTTGCTGCTTGAGCAAGGCAGCTGCAACAGAGCTGTCAACCCCGCCACTCATTGCGACAAAGACTCGCTCTCCTCGGCTGGGTTGCTGGTCTTCAGCAAGAAAGGGCAGTGACTTGCGCGTGGGCATGCTATAGCGTCGGATGCTCGAATGAAGAGCCATAGATCCCCTATGTGCGACTGCAAGCGGATTTTGCGTACGAGCATGCATAGCGAGCAGGCATCCTCTCGGAGGCTTCAGAGCGCAGCGTAAAAGATCCACAAGAAGCGAAGCCATGAGTCTTTGCTAGTGAGTCGAGTTCACAAGCTTCCTGGTAGTACTAAATGGGCTACTTAGCAGGCTATGGTAGCTTGTGCTTTAGCCGGCTATGGCTATTTTTCTTGCGTACGTCGTTGTAGAAATTTGCATCTTTGCGACGCGATGAAATTTGTAGACAACACGATGACGCACCAGCTAGGTAGTCATGATCAAGCGCTCGCTCCTGTGTCAGTCGGATAGACCATTGAGATGCTGTCGATAAGGCCTGACCCTTACTTTTATTATGACATGTCAATTTGTGAAGACGATGAAAAGGATGGCATCGCGTCGTGGCTGCTGAAAGTTATGGAGTGCAAAGTGTCGTATCTCAGGAGCTCAACAGAAAGTTATGGCCGTGTCTGGATCGCCAACAATCACTTCAAGTACGATTAACTGACCCCTTTGACGAAAGCGCCTGCAGATCATTTGAATTGCGGGCCTGCTGCGGCGGCTGATCACTCTATGGTCAAGTTGAGCAAGGACACGAGTATATATGCCTTGCTAAAGCTTGTAACTTGGTCTTGGAATTCATGATATGCAATCAGTGCTTCGAATTGAGGAAGTCGTCTCATGTCTGCCGCTTCAGGTATTCCCAGGAATCGGGTATTCTTGACGTCTCAAAAGGGGAATTTTGAAGCTTCGAGACTCTGATGGCTGTCATGGCAGCAATGGATCGGTGTCAGACACTACATACAGACAGAGACTACACATCACGAAACATCAGCACTGAAACTATAATATCTCAGAGCGAAACAAATTGACTGCATCACGACGTCGTTCGTATAGAGAAGTCGGAGGTCACGAGCACTCAAGGTCTTCCATACGACGCGCCTGATCTGATGTCTTTCAGCGCTCCACAGCTTGTCGTCAAAATCACAGCCGAAACATCTCCAGGTAAAGGCGGCGATGGGACAGCCAAGCGTAGTCGAGTACCCCAAATAGCTGTGAGGCGGCAGCAGCTATTTGGCAGCGACGCTCCTGTGTCATCGCTCGCAAAGTATGCGATTTCTAGAGATGTTCGACAACCTCCGCCAGATCTAGCAAGATTAACCTCGTTGCAACAACAACAGCAAGCTAGTCCCCAACATTATCCATCGGCCGTCGCTGGTCCTGAGAGCGAGATAGAAGGCTTACTTCAACTGCGTTTGCGATCAGTTCAAAGACAGGTCGCCACACTGAAAGAAGAGTTCGATCGACCGTGTATTGCCACAAGCGAGGCATGTCGCAATCTGATTGATTATACAATGTCCACGCGTGACACTCTTGTCCCAAGCGTCTGGGGAAAAGCGCCGGCTGAGGAACGTGAATTCATGGGCTCAACCACCAGTCCAGGATGTTGCAGCATTTCCTGAGGGCTCAATTTGCATTTGGAGACGCCACAAACAGCAACAGACTTTGCAGAAACAGCGTCGTTTGGGGAAACGCCGCAAACAATAACAGACGCCGCGTCAACGATGTCAGACGAAACATCAGTTGCATCAGAGGTTTCGTTGTATGTTTGATGTTTCTATCGCTAGTACAAGATGGACGAAGCCCCAGAATGGATCCCTCAGAGTTCGGGATGCTCGTCCAACAACTACTTACCATCTTTGCTTGCTCATACACTTTAGCTGCACCCGTCGAGACTGATGCAGTACGAGAACCTACGCCAGAAGGGCTTGTTAGCGATTTGAGCACTCTACAGACAAGTCTGAAAGCCATGACAAAGGCAGTCAGTGCCTATAATGGAGGGCTCAGCGGTGTGTCTGCCATCAACACAGCTTCCAAAACGGTCAATACTGCCATCGCGCGTATGGACGACGATGCAGAAAGTGTTCAGTTGACGGATGCTGTCAAAGCGCAGCCAGTACTACAAGCGATTATCGATACTGAGCCCGTTATTCAAGAGACACTCGATTCGATCGTCTCGAAGAAAAAGACATTCAGCAATGCCTTGCGACCAAAGGTCTCGACAGCATTGGACAAACTGGTCGTCAACACCCTCAGCCTCGGCAGGAAGCTAGAGGCCGGATCTACCCCGGATTTTGCTCCCAAATTGCGGGCCGAGACGGACAAGCTCGAGGATTCCTTCCAGAAGGCTCAAACTGACTTCAAATCTAAACAGTGATAGGTAGGAAGCCCCGTCCTTCATGGCCGGGCAGTTGTATAAGTTGATTGTGGCCTTTGGACTTCTATGAGTATCACAAATTGCAGTGAGCCAGCATGCTTGGGACATAAGTATGTATGCATCATGCAGATTTTGTGCATTCGTCATGTCATTATGCTGTGCTAATTAAGACATTATCTCTTGCACTGCACATGCACAGCTGGCCTGCGTTGAACACATGTCTATCACCACTCCTCATTGTAAGCTGCCCGCCGCCCGAGAGAGCCGTAGCAGTACACAACAGTTGTCCACTGTTGACCTGCAGGGCGACTTGCGAGAGGAATGTCATCCGAGCTCCAGCAGGGAGCCGTTGCAGCGGTCCCACTGACTGGATAGCGTTTTCACCTAATGTCAGCTGATGAGTATACTTTTCAGGGCTTACCGCTTGGAAGCATGATTTGGAAACCACCAGATCGCAGCTGAGGAGCTCCCGGCAGTGATTGCGGTACACCATTTGGGAGTGCCACGCCAGCTGGAGGCCCCGGCAGATTTTGCGGTAGACCGTTCGGGAGTATTGACCCAGCAGATATACCTTGAAGCCCCCCTCCGAGCCCATTTCCGCTGAATGAACTTTGAGGGCTGACTTGCGGTGGCAAAAGGGCGGGCTGCGGTTGCTGCTGCTGTGGCAAAACACCACCATATTGGGCAGATGCAGGATCGGTCGCAGGGAGCGTTAAGCCGGGCATATAACCCTGGAGCGACTGACACAACACAGAAGCATGAAAGAACCATGTCAAAAAGAGAGCAGTAAACTTCATGTTGCAAGATCATAATGGGGAGTCTCAACGGTTTGGGGGAAGTGTCAAACACAAGGTGCTTCAAGCGTCCAGCCGTGATGGCGGATTGCGACAGCCACAGTGGAACGCGGTTCAGGGATGAAACGTATTCGCTTGTAAAGATAACTTGAGACGAGGCAAAGCTATGCAAATAGACCAGTGTTGAAGCCGTTCTGTCCCACTGGAATGATCGGCTGCCCGGGAATAATTGAAGAGCTTGTAGCCGCCTGCCCAGCTATTTGATTGCCATTGGCAAGCGCAGGGTTATTTGTCTGGCTAGAAGCAAACGGCTGGTTGGAGAGGCCAGGATTGGACGACCCAGATCCGGTCTGACCAGCAGGCAAGCCAACGCCAGACTGCGAGATGCCATTTGTGAAGCCATTGGACGTCGGGTCCAGTACTTGCCCCCCAGACCCTGAAAATTGATCTGTAGCGGCTAGCGGATTCGAAAACCCTGCAAGGCCTGGTTGAGCATTGCCGTTCGCTGGAAATATATTCGGTGAAACACCTTGTGATCCAAGCAGGCCATTGTTGCTGCCGACCACAGTGACAAAGGGTGATCCATCATCAAACATTGCGCCGGTATTGCCATCGACGATGACATTGCTGGTAGAGGCAGGATCTCCGAAAACATTGTTTCTGCGCGCAGCCGCTGAGGAAGGGATGGCAGCGGGAATTCCAGTCTCAATCAAATCATTTGAGTCCTTCAAAGAACCGACCGGGTTCACAGCGCCCTGTCGGCGCGCATCGCTAACACCTGTGCCCATGTGGCCAGACCCAAGTGGAGTCTTGTTCAAGACTCGAGAGCCATTCTCAAGAGTAGTCGGGCTCTGCGAGCCTGTTTGCGGTGTCCCGACATTCGGACCTTCAGCAGCCTTAGCCGTGGCATTGCCAATCAAGGCTTTCGGCTGAGCTGCCAGACCGACAGTCAGCGGAGCACTCTGCGTTGACGACGCAGAACTTTGTGTATTGCCTGATGACATGGGAATAAAAGCAATGCCTGTCACATCGCCAGCCTTGACGGGAACAATAGCGAACCCATTAGAAGCTGCCACATCCGCCAGGCTCGGTGCACCGGCAGCGACGTTTGGAGTACTTGGCGCATTGATTGGTCCAGCTGTTTGAAGTGCTCCTGCCGCATCATCTCCATCATCTCCATCATCAACTGAACTAGGGGCAGTGGCAGATGCCAATATTCCATCGATGCCGACCGCGTTAGCAGGGGGCACAGCCTTTTGAGGCACAGGACTGAAGCTCGCCTTAGTGGCTGGAACACGACTTGGCACTGGCTGAGGCTGGGGTTGAGGTTGTTGTGCCTGTACGGCCACAGGCTTGGAGCCACCTGGTGTTGCGCGATTCGGAATCTCAATGCCGTTGAGCGCTCTGGCTGTGGCTACACCATTCTGGTCAACGGACGCAATGACTGGAATGACGATAGTGTTGCGGTCATCATTGACTTCTGATAGAGCAGCAGCTGCAGCAGCACCTGAACCAGTCGCATCCGCGACTTTGTTACTGTTGAAGGCTTTCGTTTGGGCCGACGGAGACTTGCTTGCCGCCGACAAAGGGGCGAGCATGTCGAGCAACTTTGCAATAGTGTTCGAGGGCGGCTCAAGTGCCTTGCTCAAAAGATTGCCTAGCACTGCAGCAGAGGAGCTTGTGGAATCGAATAATTTGGATCGTGCAAGGCTGCCGTACGTCGGTACTGGCAGCGCACAAGTTAGTCCGCACAAGTGCAACAACATAAAGGCTCGCTTGGCTCGCATGATTGAAGATCGCTTAGAGGATGTCTGTCAGATGTCGAAATGAAGCAATTGCGCGGCATGGCCTTGTAGTTCTACTGATCAAGAGGCGACAATCATGTCGCACAAGTTTGAGATTCAGGGATCCTCGAAACTCGAGGAGCACGTCATGTCAGAAGGAAGGTCCAAGCGCACTCGCCTAGATGAGACCAAATTGTAGTGTCAGCGCACAGGTGCACATCAAAGAACAGTACTTGAAACAGGAGTCATGTGCGGCATTCCAGGGACCACTCAAGACCAATTCCCCGAGCGAATCTTCCGTCTCCGAAGCGAATGAGTTCCTCTTGGAAGCACAGCTTGCGAACGAAGAACCCGCGTGCTTCTAAATCCCTCTTCAAAAGGCGCAGAGAGTCTTTCCAGAGCTCTTTGTGACGGCCAACGACAAAAGCACCGTGCTCCTCAGGCTTCCGATCGATATGCACGAAACTGCATGAGCCTGGTAGCAAGTCAAAATCCCATGCTGACTCCATTGCGGAAGATCGGTAGGGGTAGCCAAGGTAATCTTGAAGCAGACCGTGTCGTTCAAGCTCGGTAAACAGCTGTGCAAGGAGCCGTCGCGCAATCTGAGCACATATGCGGAGCCTAGCTTCCACCACATCTTGAGCTGTAGTATTGATGTCTGATGCGATGTAGGATGCTGTTGGTCGAGGGCCTGACGTCTGGGAATCACGCTCAGAAGGCTTGGCCGTCCGCCGCTGTGAAGGCAGTATCGAGCCAGCAGCGCTCATAGGTGCAAAGAGAGGCTGCGAAAGGAGAGACCAACGCCACTTCATCATCAAGCTCGATCAGAGATTGTGATGCAGATGTGAGCGGAGAAAAGCAAATCCTGCCGTCCTGGTGATCGCATAAGAGGTGATCAAGTCGAAGCAGCATTTGCCGGAGTCGCATGATTTGTTTGCCAGTCAACAAAGGCTGTTTCCCAAGTCTGAGGTAGCCTACTTAGTGCCTGACATCGATTTCTCAATATCCGCCAAGTTCTATCACGGATGATTGCCTCCGTGGATTGCTCAGATTTCAAAACCCGTGTAAGCATTGGCTCTTCCAGCTCAGTCCTGCCGGCATATGGATCGAGACGCCTTTGCTTGTTCAGCTCGCGTATGTTTTGTTGGTCTGTATTTGCGTGCACAACGTTGTTGAGTTTCGCCACGTTGGCATCTGCGAACTGCAGACAGCGGTCGATAGTGTGAGAGCGACCTTCCCAATTGCGGAATACGGCATCAACCAAGGTATTGCATGACCCTTCGTCGATGGGTGTACGCAAGAGGCGTCTCTCGCCAGCTTTTGGCGTGCCAGTTGATGTCGGGTCGAAGCGAACCGGTAAGACGAGATTATTCAGATTCTGTGTAATGGTGTCGTCCACGAGCGAATGAGAGAGTCTTAAGAAATCCTTAAGACCAGTGACATCTCTACAAATTTGAAAATCCTGACCTGAATTCATCATGACAGCGATTGTACTTGTATGTGAGTATAGATATTTCAAATCGTGGTCAGCGCGACGCGTCCGCGATGTGACGTAAGCTGCCTGTCAACAGTCACATATATTATTGTATGTTTTGTATCTACAAGGGTTTTGCTCCAAAGCCAATCTCATTCTTGTCAAAGTCGTAGACAGAGTAGACATTTTTGAGGAAGACTGTTGTTAGTCGGCTGACATGAAGGAAGTAGGGCTCACCATCGCCGACAAGGAGTGTGTTCGGACCTTTGATAGTCTTTAGTTAGCTCAAGCTTAGAACGTGAGAAATACCTACCTGACCAGATATCTTGGACAAGCATAGCGGTCGAACACTGTTGACACCTTCAATGGTGTGCCCGATGTAGTCTTTAGGGCCGATGGGAAAAGCTTGTCCACCAAAGACCAGAGAAATGTGAAGAGCAGTGTCACAGGGGACAGCAAAAGTACCTTGCGTATCTGTCTGCGCGTCTGGTATGGCAGCATGTATTCCTGTTGCAACTGGAGATGGTGCAATCAAGAGTGTAGTGCCAGTGTCAATAATTCCCGTTGCCACTGCTGGAATCGTGATTTTCATAGCTCCGACCGAGATGCCATCAAGTTTGGCTTCCCAGAGGCCTGACTTGGCCACGTTCGGCACAGAGACAAGGGGCCCAGCGAACTTGGAGACGTCAATTGAGCCAAAACTGATGAGCCCATCTCGTGATTCATCCGCTGCTCTGTTCAAGTTCACTCCAAACAACTTCCTCTCCAGAAGCCCTGCGGTCATGAGATTGTCCATGATTGTTGGGATCTTCTGTGTCGATGAATTACTACCGCCAAGACCCATAATGCCATCAGCTGGAAAGTTTGCAAAGGAGTTCGTCAAGCGTGAAGCGGTTCCGAATGTAACCGGACCAAGGGCAAGCCCTGCGAATTGCATTGTGTCTTGTACCAAGTTGCCCATTGCTGCGCCGGAACCATAAGCAATTTTCCAATCCGTTTTTGAGGCTCTGTAAGTATCAGAGTCCTCGGGTCCAAAGGTTGAATGATTCAGACAAGCCTTGTCCTTACAGTCTGCTGCAGGAACCCACAGGTCGCTACTGCCTGTGTCCATGACCATCTTGAAGGGCTTCAAATTGGAACCCAACCTGATAGTTGAGAAATAGGTGACATCTTTGCCATCCTGGTCGATCGCAAGCTGTCCAAGAGTCTTGCCTGGCTGAGAAGCAACAACAGTCAGGCTTGCTGCACGTTTTGAAAAAGAAGTCGAGACACCACGTTTCACAAGGTCTTCCTGGTGCTTCTCAATGATGTCGACTGGTCTCGAGTATCCAAAGCGCTTTGCGATCCGATTCAGTTCTTGTTGCTGCTGTAATTGCGGATGGACCGCTGCATCGGGTGGGTTGGCTCTAATGACGAGTTCGATTGGAGGTATTGCTGGCGATTTCAGAGCTTCATTGACCTCGATCGACCTTACTGATTTTGATCGTGATGATGAGATGTCCAAGCCGGCCCGACTGCCATCGACTGGCTTCCAGAGAGATATGTGGCGGTCATCCGCCGCCAAGTTCAAGGCATTCCTTTTCACAAGTGTACGGAACTTGCTCGCGTCATGATCTTGCACCACGATGAGATGGCCAACTGTCGTGGTGGTAAGCAGCGCCAAGAAGACTGGTAGCATCACAGGATGACAAAGATAATGTGAGTACAAGCCAAGAGTGCCAAGCAGTTTTGGGTAGAATGTCCTCTGATGTGCTGCATTGCGCGTCAGAAGATGTCCCTGTCCCTTGAGGCTTGGATGTTTGGAACAAGCACAAGTATAGTGTTTCCAAGATCAGCTTTGAAACACGCTGAATCTCTAGCATGTTTGCAGTCACATCTTGTTTCAGGAGACTTCAGAGAGAAATTATTCCTATGCTTGAACGAGCATCTGCTCCATGCTTATTTGATGCTCGGGTGCTTGTGATATAGCCGTTCTGGACTGTGCATGTGCGAGTGCCAGCTTTGCGATGCCAATAGAATCTGCTGATTCTTGTGAGTCCATTGTAGATGCGCTTTGCTGCCTGTCACGACGCTTCATGAACGGAAGATTTGGGTAGAGAGCCTCGCTTTGGACTCTGGCTCGCAGCTTTTGCCAGCTTTCGACAAATGGAGCGCGCAAAGTAACGCCACAAGCACAAAGAATAGCTGCATGTACTTCAACAGACGACCATATTTGGACCAAAGGGAGAGTGACTGTTAGGAAGCGTGTAACTGTTGTATCTTGATTTGGCTCAGTCAGAGACAGGCGTTTGAGGTTTGCAAGTATGACGACCAATGTCAAGAGCAAGACTGCAACAACGGCAGCTTTCTGGGCTTTTGGTAGCTGAAGCATTGAAATGACTGGCATCGGCAAGATCATTAGAGCGATGTCCGCCGTGATGCGAAAGAGTGGCGGACCATAGATGACTAGGGTAGCTGTGGTTGTCTTGCCATAACAATTGGCACTAGGTCTGTCCTGTAGTCTCCAGAAGGCGGGAATTGGCCGGCACTGCAAGTCATAGGCCAGTATCTCCACAAGGGACCCGACAACGATGTAGCAAAGGAGAATATTACAAACAATCGTATGCCAGCGAATGAGTCCTTGACTTAGACGACGGTAATTGATCGCCACACTCACCTGAGTCAGTGCGAGAGAAATGTAGAAGGCGTGCATATAGACAAATTGCTGCTTGAAGATCGACGAGAGCTCATCAAACGTTGGAGTCTCTTGACCAAAACCTTGAGCATCGCGGTAGTGACTAAGAACGCCAACCAGAGCAGCCAACAGCCAAGCAAGAGAAATGAGATAGTCGTCTGATCCTAGTTTCTTGAGCCGTTTCCGACGGTGATGCAAGCGCAATACGACTGCCGCAAAACTGAAAGCGCACAAGACAGTGAAGACAATGAGACTTCGCTTGACGAGCGCAGGTATGCCAGCACTGTCTTCATCGTCTGAATTCGCAGAAATTGTGTCTTTCTCTTGAAAGCCTCCTCCGGTACCGTGTATCGCGCGACGAGCGCTCCAAGGCGCCATTGCATCTGTCGTGTTCAGCAGAGCTGTTAAGTTGTGCAACGCATTCATGATGGCAATAACAGTGTCTCCGACATCTAAGGGTGTGATGCGTGAATCTCCTTCTCCGCGAGATGCTTGTCCTGCAACGGTCTACGTTTCAGAGCAAATGATGGCATGTTTCATGTGTCAAGGCAAGCCTCTGAGTTATTTGGAAGTTGAGATGCGCCAGCGAGAAGGCAGCAGCAGTCTCTCGCGCTAGACTGGCATTGACGGCCCGGTAGCTTTAAGGCACGCATCTGAGCTATAGCTGTGTGCCTGTGCATTTATGTGAAGCTGACGAGCTGTACATCCCCAGGTGTAGTTGACGGTGGTCGAATGATTTCAGCTGGTCACTCGAGATCCACCACGACGACCAGACTATTGCTACACGTGTGTAATAAACCCTCTATCGCTGCACCGTATCAAACTCAAGCCCAGTACACTCGGCCCCATTTGTCTTGATCAGATCTGCTTTCCAGAAGTTCAAGGACTACGATTCAGCGGTTCTTCTAGCTGACTTTTGCAATATGCATATCGACTCTCTGCTGCCAGAATTTGTCTTGGACAGGGTGCTCCGCGAAGATTCCAGCTACAAGTCCATCACGCTCCTTGGAAAGATCAAGGACCAGTACTGCATTATTGTTGCAGAAAAGACGGCTTTCGATACCAATGCACTCTCGGCCATCTCACAGCCAGAAGCTATAAACTTGGATCTAGAGAATAACATCTATGTAAGCCATCTTACAGCTGCACGACGTACTTGCAGCTGATTTCAAGCATCGTGCCTTTGTAGCTCTCAAGTCTGATGCTTTCAAGCTACCTTCCGCAAAGTACAGCATCATTTATCCAGCAACGGAAGTCCATATTGCAAAGTACACTGCCCAGAAGAAGCGCATGATTGCAGAGACGCCAGAATTATACACCAACGTCGTGCAGCCATACATACAGACAATGCTGGGTTCTCGCATTGACTGGGTCTTCAACATCCTCAAACACGAAGCTGAGGTTGATCGCATTCTGTTTGAAGACACTGATCCTGTTCAGGGGTTCATTCTGTTGCCAGACTTGTGAGTCGTTCTCGTGGGTGGCTGACGCTGATAAAAAGGAAATGGGATGGCAAGACACTAAGTGCACTATATATGTGCGCCATCGTGCATCGTCGAGACTTGCAGAGTCTGCGGGACTTGCGAGGTGAGCACATTGGCTTTCTACAACATCTCAAGGAAGAGAGTCAGGCTGCAGTCAAGGCCAAGTACGGCCTCGAGGCTAGTCAGCTGCGACTTTACATTCATTGTATGTACTCTTATACACACGTCCAAGAGCTGACCCTTAGATCAACCCAGCTACTATCACTTGCATATCCATGTGCAGAGCAGTGATGCAGAGGCTGGCGAAGGCCTTGCAGCTGGAAAGGCCTGGTTGCTCGATGATGTGATTGACATGTTGAAGCACGATGGAGATGTGTTTGCGAAAAGGACATTGCATTATACATTGGGTGAAGCGTCAGATCTCTACAAGCTGATGGACGCTCAAACAGCTGCCGCTGCCGCAGGTGCATCCATCTCATGAACGTAGCTGAAGAAGAGAAACTTGATGGCCAGTGAGAATGCGGCATGGAGTGCAACAACGCCAATCAACATGATCTGACTGGTTTTGGAGTCTGCGCGGTTCAGAACCGGCATCAAGTTCCTGACGAGAAAGAACCCCGATAGAGTGAATCCCAAGATGACAGACACCCATCGTATCCAATTGCTAAGAGTTGCATAATGAAAGAATTCCAGCGGTGAAATACTCACTAGAGATACAGGTACCCAAGCGGCATTTGCGTATCCATAGAGGCAGAGTACTTCGAGCAAAGATGGCTCGCACTTGTACCACAGAAGTATCAACCAGCTCAAAACAGGTGTGATGAAGGTATAGCCATATATAAGCGTGGCGGCGGATGTAAGCGTAGAGAACGAGTACGCATAGGGTTGGTGAGAGACGTGTGCAGCGAGGTAGCCAGCGACCGTTGAAGAAAAGTAGAGCACAGTGATGACGGTGGTCGCAAGCCAAACTGGCGCATACAGATCCGGGTTGCCCTCGATGGTATCGAAGAAGTTGGCTCGCGGAAAGATGGCCGCCAAGAGTCTAGCGAGCACTGCATCCGAGGTGACGTCGAAGAATTGCGCATAGTAGCCAGTGGACCACAGGAATTGCTTGGAGGAGAGCATTGAGGAAGAGGAGAAGAATCCTCCGCCTGACCCTGTAGCGGAGCTGTTCGTCGCTCTTCCTGTAGCACCCTGGCCTGCTTCTAAGGAGTCATTCGCATGAAATGATTGAAACTGCAGCGACGTCCGCGGCTGGGAGAGGCCGTCTGATTGTTCGACGTCTGCATCGATGACCTTGTCATAGCCGTGCGACATGACTGAGGTGCCTCAATGCTAGACCGTAGATGGCAGCTTGCAACTGTCGGTCGGTTGGTCGCGTCCAGTGCAGTCTTCATCTGACGCGGTGCTGGGCAGAAATAGCGCAGTCACATTTCTGCCTTCAGACTTGGATCAAAATTAAGACAACTGATACTCTAGGACATGGACATGGACATCTGTCTACCTGGAGCTCTTAGCAAGCAGTAGCAAGTTCAAAAACTGGGTTCTATTCCGTCGCTGCTGCCTGCCCATCTGAGCGCATGTGATGTGTCGTTTTCCTTTGTCTGCCGCGGAGGAACAAAGAACAAGAAGACTTGTGCGGAAGTTGTGCGTTCATGGTGAAGAGCCAGAAGAGCATCAGGGCAGAGGGAGAGCTCAGAGCAGAGCCAGCGTCGTGTGGCACCTTGCCTGCGACATTCGTGGCAGACTGCCCGGCATGCCAGCCATACCGAGTCGTACAAACGGCTTAAATGCATTAAGGAAAAAAGCGCGATCGTGCACCTGCACACCTACGCACCACACACCTCAGCAAGCTCGCATCCCTCCAAGCTCCAGCTCTTGTCACATAAAGGATTGCTTGTCGCTTCTCTCTTCTGTAGATATCTTCTTTGGTCCTGACCTAAGAACCGACGACGATCTCCAATGCACGACAGTCGTACAGACAGAATGATGCACACAGGCCATGGGCAGCAGCAGCGCAAGCAAAAGGCGGCGGCATCAGGCCTCATCATCTCGCCGCCGCCAGCATCAGTGTCGCTCGCTCGTCACAGCTACAGTCGACACTTCCATACAGCGAAGAGCCCGCCTTTGACCCCCATCACTGGCTCGTCGACATGTTCCGTTCACAGCCGGGGTCAAGACAACGCAACAGGGCTACATCGCTCATTCGAATTGGAAGTCAGGCTCGAGCAAGAGCCTGAAGATTGCATCTATACCACTGATTCGCCGTATGCGGCGCTGCAGAGTGCAAGGTATGACCAAACTTGCTTCGAGCGTCCAACCTGGCGAACTCCTCCTTCTCTCAGCGCAAGTGAATCAAGCACAGCAGGCAGTCCGACACTGGGCTCCTTCTCACTCCGTTTGGATACCCGAGATGAGTCTGTCTTGCCAGAGCTACCGGCATTCGAATTGGAATCGCTGCGTAAAGAATTTGGCAGTGCAAGTCCAAGTCAAAGCGAGCTCGGCATCACAGAGAGTCCGGCACGGAGGAGTCAGCAGTACGGCGATATCTACATAAGTCTCGATGGGGTGTCAGAGCCACCCAAGTCTCCGTTCTACGTGCAGCCGCATCAGGTCAAGCGGCAGTCGCCACTGTCTCTGAGCCATGTTCCCATACTGCTCGATGAACGGCCAATGGCGACCACAATAAAGGTCCGTGCACCACCTGTGTCTCCATCGCCTGTGCCGCGAAAGACATCAGGATCAAAGGCGACGCCAAAGCGAGAATTACTCCCTTCTGCGCTAAGCGACTTTGCCAATAGGGAATTGCCGGCTGTACCTGGCGGTAGGCCATACAAGCCGCAAAGACTCTTTGGCGCCAAACCAGTGCTTCAACAAGAAACGGAGGAACTTGATTTATCTTTTGCAGAGATGCCTGTATCGTACAGGCGGCCGTCCATGTCATCAGTGTCGCCTGGCATTCCTGTGTCGCCTGTCAGGTCTGTCAGAGAAGATATACCTGTTTTGTTTGCCTGTCCCACGCCTCCAGGAAAATCGCCTTCGAGAAACAAAGGTGTCATGACTGAGAGTTCCAAGTATGTTGGTACTGATCACTCAGCTGGACTGAAGCCTTCGAGATTGTACGATATGATTTGACCCGGCTTGTGTGACGGAGGGAGATGTACGAATAATTTGTAGAGTAGAGTAGCAGCATGACCACGAACCACAACATGAAACAAGCTTCAAGTGCGCATTGAGCTCGTGCGATTGCTTATATACGTACTCATGTGTTCAAACGTTGCATCGATATGAATTACTTTGCCTGCTTCTGCTTGGCCAGCACTGTTGCCTTGCTGCATGCGTCGCTGCCACAACTCCTGCATGTCGTTTATGGAGAGACTGCTGCCACTGTAGGGCGGCCTCTCTGCGTTCTACTCTTTCTTGCACTCGGCCTACAACACCTTCCAACTCCTTCGACAACGAAAGGCTTACAAGCTTGGTCCATCCGTTTGAGCCTTCTAGGCGCTTTCATTGCGGTGTTGCTGAAGTATCTGCGCACCTACTTGCAGCATGATGTGACCGTCATCGACTTGCTTCTCGCGAAGCTACGCGCCGATTCTCTATACACGCCTGTTATCGCATCGACTGTCTTGGAATGCATTCTTCTTGGTCCACCACTGGCTATGCTGGCACTCGATGGAAGTCGGATGTCCACTCTGTGTATGTCGGTACTGCTCTTCCTCCCTCTTGTGTCCATTTCAGCACCCGATGGTTGCATATTTGCCATTCCTCTCATGCTAGGACTGGCTTCACTGTGTCTTGCAGAAAGAAAACACGCGCCACGATGTGCTTTACTCTGTGTCGCCATCGTGTGCCTTTTATGGGAGCTTCAAACGATCCAATGCCAAGCACTTCCCTGGCTACTGCGCTGCCCAACATCAGACTCCAGCTTCAAAGTGCTGATGCAAAGTCGTTCAGGGACTGGACAAGTATCAGTCCTTGAGTCTCCTCAGTATCGTGTCCTCAAAGTGGACCACTCGTTGCTCGGAGGCGAGTGGCAGGGGCACGCACAGGGTCAGAGTATCTATTCAACATTTTACATGCAAGCGATGGGGATCTATACAACAGCACGGACCAGAGACACAGGCTTCAAGACGACTGTGTTGATCATTGGGCTTGGTGTCGGTACGTCTGCCAAGACACTTCTTGATTCGCCTGTGCATGATATCCTTGTTCAAGCTGTAGAGATTGACTGTGCGGTTGTCGCTGCGGCCCAGCAATTCTTTGGCTTACCTACAGAGGATCCTCGACTCACAGTGAAGTGTGAGGATGCAAGAGAAACTGTGCGGAAAGCCAAGCTAGCAAATCGCAGGTTTGATTTCATCTCGCACGATGTCTTCACTGGTGGCGACTTGGCCTTCCCGCTCTTCACCTTGCAATTCTTCCAGCAAATCGAAATGATCCTAGCACAGGGTGGTACGTTGAGTGTCAACTACGTGTGGTCCCAGAAAGACAATGATCCCGCATTGCGAAGCTTGCTCAGCACGTTGAAGCAAGTCTTCCAAACGGTTGAAGTCTACCTTGAGAATGGCGAGCTCGATGAAGTCAACAATTTGGTCATCTTTTGCAAACTCACCGACAAGCTGATACTGGATATTCCTGATTCTGGACGGACGCCGAAGAGCAATCTTGGCGTTGTTGCAGTAAGTCATCTGCTTGGTTCCTCCTTGACTAATCTTCAGCGCGAAATGAAGGATTGGCACTATACCATCAGTGATGCGAAAGATGCTCTCATCCTGCACGATCCACAGGTAGACTCTGGAGCAAGTCAACGTGCTTTGGTCAGCAGCTCGCAAGTCATGGCATTCCGACACTGGCGATTCATGCGCAATCTCTTCAAAAAGCCGGAAACATCAATTTGGACTCTATTCTAAAAGCAACGCTAGCGCCATCTATAGAAGCATTGACCCTCATGCCTTCTTGACATTTGATCCTGTTCTCTTGACCCTTGAGAACATACCAACCTTCGGGTCTGTAATAAATTGAAAGATGACATATGTCCAACTGCCATGCTGTGGCAAATCATCGTAGAATTCAGAAGCAACGGCTCGCAACTTTGGTAGGCGCGTCCAAGCAACAAAGGGAAAATCATGGTGCTCGTTGTGATACCCAACGTTGTATGTGAGTGCATTGAGACCGCCATAGTAGGAGTACGTCTCGGCAGGGACACCCGTCTCGTCCGACATGCTATTCTCAAAGACATAGTGCTCTGCGATGAAATGCCCGGCACATGGATGCAATGAGCCTGCAAAGAAGCTCGAGAAGAGCAAGTATAGTAAAGGCTTCCAGCCAAAGAGGGAGACGAGAATGTAATCAAAGGAGAGCTGCGTGAAAATATTGGCAAAGTGCAGCGGTGTGAATGGCATGGCCTTGACCATCATGGGCCGTAACGCGTAAAAGAAGATTTGAAAGGTAGCAAAGAATGCCTTGCCGAGAACGTTCTGCAAAAAGAGCGCCTCAAAGCGCGTGGGCAAGTCTGTATCGATACCGTCCACGCCAAGGTGTTTGTGATGTTCCAGATGGTATGGGCGAAAGGCGGCCGAGTACGGCAGGCCAATGGGCAGATTAGCAACGATAGCGAAGTAACGATTTGCCATCATGCTCTTGAATGCCAGATTATGCGAGATTTCGTGAATGGCGAGAAAGATGTTTTGGTTGCATGTGCCACCAAGTAGGTAGGCTGTGAGCATAAACCGCCAAGACAGGATAGGTGCATCTCTCAGGAAAACCGCTGCAAGTGTCTGCACAAATACAACGAGCAACACAAGCCATTTGGTCAAGGGCTCTGGCCCACACAACGCGCCGACTTCGGGATGCGCCTTGATGATGGCCTGCCGCCGCGTCCGATGCGGCTCTTCAGAGTACGACCAGTGAAAGTCGAGCAGCCGCTGCTCTGCCTCTGTCCGTACTTCCATATCTGTTGCCATGGCTCTGAATTGAGTCGGCAGTGGGTACGTCGCTCAACAGATGAGCTTGAGATGCTGCTTCTCCTCGGTCGCCTCGTCTGAACGCGTGAGAAAAAGGCTCGAAAAGGCGACCACAGCGGAAAGACATATTTAGCAGTCACTTCCCTTGGCTCGACATAGAGATGCTCTTCTCCTGCTAGCTCATGCAATGTACCCGACAGCTCAGAAGGCTTTCTGTGCGTCTCAGCTGTCTCGGCAACATTGCCAAGAAGAGGCCCTACTCATTTGCAAAAGAGATCGAGTCTGTGCTTGCTGCTTTCAATGTCGACACAGGGACGCCTATCTCATCCCCTGCCTCCTCTGCAGCGCTTGCATCCTTTCACAAGAAGGTGATCAATACGCGTGTACCAACTGGAGAGCTTGCAAACGAATATCGAAGCTTCCAGCGCCACAGCACCATTCGAGCGCTGCCTTTGTTGACCTGCAAGCTCTTCTTGCGACGACTGCTTGCAGATTTGCAAGTCAGGCTCGCTGTACAGGTCTTACTTGCATATGACCTCAATGATAGCGTCAATCTTGTCACGGATGTGCTTCATGGCTTGCAGATTTATGAACAGCGAACCTTTCTCGTCATGCTATTCTCCGAACTAAGGAGATTAAGTCAGCATGGAATCGCGAAGCAGATATGTGCCGCAACTGGCTACAGTCCAAGTGCAATGTCACAGCTTACAGACCAACATGAACAGGTGGCAGACATCGAAACTTTTCAAGTGCTGTCGAAAAGGCTATTTGGCACCTCCACGCTAGATGGTTGGACCGTCCTCGTGCTCTGCAAGCAGCTTCTACAAAGCGAATTGCTTGCAGAGGCAGAATCTCTGGTCACGCGGCATCCTCAGGCCCATCATGCCGTCCGCTTCCTTGTCGAACGCTTACCGCGCCCAAGAGCCGCTGCTTTATTTGTCAGTCTTGCAGAAGAAGCTGACTACGACTTGCATACTTGGCGTGTGGCTCTTGGCGCTTGCGATGAGCACCAATTACAAAGCTTAGCAGAGTCCGCGAAATCGCTTGACATCAAGTTACTGGTTGCAGAGAGCACGGCTAGACACACAAATACTTTGCCCATTTCTTACACGATGGCAACGACATTGTCATTAATTTCTTCAGAGACGAAAGCGCTCGGGTCTTTGTTCGCCAGTTGGCTACACACCTCTCCAGCGACCATCGCTCATAATCCACATGAGGCTGCCATGCAAGCGATTCTTAGGAATTTGGCGGACGAAGACACCCAGCACTTGTCTGATCTTCTGCTAGGTTTTGCTGAAGCCATTCAGCAGCATTCGACCGCCTCACTGTATGCGGTGTTGAGGCTTGTCGAAGATATGCCTTATGACCTCCCATTCCACGTCGAACACAAATTGACACGACACGTTCTCAACAAACCGGCCGATGAAGCAGCCTTGTATTTTGCATTGCGCAAGACGAGCAAACGCGCCATGCACGCAGTGGTCAACCACCATCTGCGCGCACACAGATTGGGTGCTGAAGACGGTCAATTCTTTGGCAGTCTGCTTCTCTTGTCAAAACGCCTGGGAATCGAGGCGTCTGCACTTCAAAGTGTTTTCGACTTGTGCATAATGCAGCTGATTGAAGTACGCCCTCCGACGCTGGCGCTCTCACTACTGCGCACATGTGAGGCACTTGAAATATCTCCAGCTCTGGATTCGATCGCTAAGCTGATGCGCGTGCTCACTCGAAATCGGTACTACGACATTGTGCTGCATCTGTTGACTATGTCGATGCCAAATTCTGGGACCGCCCTGACGAAAGCCCTGAAGGTACAACGAAATATCTTTGCTCGGTTCATCCTCCACACGGCATCCAAAGACGCGACTGTTTCGATGCGAGCTTTGAGGGAGATGCGCCGTAAGGGCTTTGTGCCGTCTGCATTTCTATTGCAATCCATGGCCCTTCGACTGGCCAGCCATCGATACATCCCAGGATCCAGTGTGCCATGCAGCAGCTCTGTCTTATTTCGATACATCTCGCGCATCATTCGCCTCGCTGGTACATTGGGTTATAAGAGTGGTGGTAATCGTGGATTCGCTTCTAGCTTGGTACGTCTTGTGCTTCTTCGACAAGGCCTCGGTGCTTCAAAGGAGCGGATCAAATACACACTTGGCCGCTCACGTAAGTCTCTACAACAACAAGACTTTGAGGAGTTGATGCGTATTCTGCGGCAATGGCGTGCCTTGACGGAGCATTCTGCTGGATCTACGAATATGGCTGCAAAGGAGAGGCTGGCGAGGCAGCGACCGAGGGAATTGAGGCATCTGCTTGCGAGGGTGGATGGTCGCCGCCGGCGTATATTTGGCACTTCGAAGCGGCGAAGGAGAATGCTAAAGAGGCCTGGTAGCCTGTAAACCCTGTTGGTAGTATTGGACTGTAGAGTAGCCATTTCCCCCTTTCACGTGTCTCCCCCAGTTATTCCCCGGCTCCTCACGCCGACCGAGGCACAAAGCAAAACAAAGCATCCTCCACCTCTCTACCCTTCAATCCATCTCTCGTCTGCAGAACAGTCTCGATATGAGTGAAAAGTGAGCAATCTGCAACGTCAATGTTTTCTTTACTAACAGGCAGCGTTGCTCACGCCCTTTCCGGCGCCCTCGGTGGTATGGCCGCCATGGTCGTTACCTAGTCAGTTCCCTCCCTAAGCTTACGTGAGGAAGGCGTGCTAACACAATCAGCCCTCTCATTACCCTCTCTACACGTGCCCAGGTCGAAGTGAAGAAGGTCCACGCCAGTCAGCTTGAAGCCGTCAAGCGCATCCTCGAGCGCGAAGGTGTCAGTGGCCTTTACACGGGTTTGCGATCCGCTCTATTCGGCATTGGTGTTACAAACGGTGTCTACTACTACTTCTACGAGACGGCCAAGGAGATCCTCGAGAAAGCACGTAAAGGTCGCGTAGGACCCATGACGACCGCTGAGAGCATGCTTGCTGGTCTGTTGGCTGGATCAGCTACAGTATTTGCCACCAACCCCATCTGGGTCGTCAACACGCGTGTCACTGCACGCAAAGATGCCGTGGAGTCGAATCCCAATGCGCCTGCCGTGCCTCACAAGAACCTGGGTACACTTGCGACTCTCAAGGCGTTGATTCGCGACGAGGGCGTCGGTGCCCTGTGGGCTGGTGTTGCGCCTGCACTCGTGCTAGTCATCAACCCAATCATCCAATACACCATCTTTGAGCAGTTGCGTATCTTGATTGAGAAGCGACGCAAGATGACGCCTTGGGATGCGTTCCTCCTTGGTGCTGTGGGTAAGCTGGCTGCAACTGGCTCTACGTATCCTTACATCACGCTCAAGGCACGTATGCAGCTGCGTCAGTCCGGTAACAAGGACGAGCAGTACAACAACATGCTTGCTGGTCTCAAGAAAATTATCCGTGATGAAGGTGTCGCTGGGTTGTACAAGGGTGTGGGACCCAAGGTCGTGCAGTCTGTGCTCACTGCTGCGTTGCTCTTTGGCTTCAAGGAGCAGCTCTTTGTCACTGCCAAGCGTCTTATGGCAGCCGTGGGTACCAAGCAGGTCAAGCAGGTCGCCGTCGCAGCAGCAGCAAGGGCATAAAACGTACATCGCTAGTCAAGTCAACAGGAACAGATTTCACTTTGGGTACGTAGGTGTAATATATCGAGTGGCTAGAGAGGCACTTTTAGTATTGCACGAGACTTTGATATGCTTGATAAGCCCTTGCACATTGACACAGCAACCTTTCCTGCATGGCATAAACACCCTTGAGGTCACGCAACTCTGCGGGACTCATCAGCTCAGCTTCACGGTGTCGGACGTCTGTACGCTTTGATTTAGCCAACAAGCGTGATTTGTCCTTGAGGAGCGCTTCAAGTCGCTGGTGTATGCGAGCCATGGCTAGGCACAGCTCGCTAGCAAGCGTCATGGCAGCCTTCTCTGGTTTGTGGAACCAAAAGAAGAGTGTCAGAGAGGGCTGTCTATCCAAACGCTTGGGCACTTCTTGCAGCTCAAGCACGCCGAGCTGATGAAGACTGGTGAGTGCTTGTCGAATGTCTTTGTGCTGCAACAAGGCAATGGCATAGAGTTGCTTTTCGTCCACTTTGCGCTTCTCCTTGATGATGCGAAGGAGACGGACAGCAGTAGGTCCGAGCTGCTGCGAGACAAGAGCCTCAACCTGACGCTCCCTGAGCACCTCGCCAAGCAATTCGAAATCGATTTCGTAAGAGGTTGAGGTCAATTGAGAGACGAACGGCACATGGCTGCCAGTCAAAATGGCCAAGATGCGCTTTGAATGCACGGAAGGCTCTGGACCCGCCTCATCCATGTCTGACTCGTCTGATCGTTCTTCATCCGACATGATCTCATCGGATTCGTAACCTGTGTGGGCAACGTGTGGCTCAAACCTTTTATTTTGAGCGACTCGACTTGATTTAGGAGGTGTACACCAGGCATCGTCCAGGTCCATGTCATCTGGGATGGCTCGAGCGATGTGGCGTTCGGTAATAGGCACACGGAGTTTGCCGCGTTGTCTGCAAGAGGCAGTCTTCAATTGAAGCGTATCGAGCAATCTGCCATAAATGCGTGCCGTTTCGTCGCCACAGCATAGTGCACAAAGAGACACCAAATCTCGCGTTCGGGCCAGCACGCCGAGTTTATCAAAGTTGAAACGCACAATGGCATCTCCGTCAAGCAAACTGGTTGCAGCGGAGCCATTGTCCATCTTGACTCTTTTACGAGCAGGACCATGATCACTGCCGTCGAGGCTGGAAAGACCCACGGCAGTGCTGTACAATGCATCAATCTTATCATTGTCCTCACGCTCACGTCGGTGCATGATTGCTGAGACTTTCTCTTCAATCTGCTGCTTGAGCTTTGCATCAGACAAGTTCTTTTTTGCATCGAGCTTGGCCTTGTCTCTGACTTCGCGTTCGCGTTCCGCTGCGATGATGTGGTCACGCGGGTGGGCAAAGACAAAGTAGCGTTCATGTAGGAGCTTGATGATGCGATGCTCGAGTGCAGCAGCAGACGTGTCTTGGTCTTGGGTGTCTTCATGGGCGCTAAACTGCAGAAGCAAGTCTCGCACACGCACTTGACCCTGTGCTAGAACATGCTTGACCATAGCGGCTGCATGGACGGAGTGGTTGCGAGAGGTGTGGAAGATGGCTTTCCCCACCTGGGAGAGGGCCATGATTTGGACATGATTGCATTCATACAGGACACGGGCTTGATCCTCTTCGTGGTAGAGGGGGAATTTTGCAAATTGGCAGCAAGCATGCATGATGAGGGCTGCTAGACAGCGTTTAACGAGTTTTGGCTGCATCTTGCAGCGTCGGGAGAGGCTGGCTGCATCTTGCCGGCCGTAGGTCAGTAAGGTGGAAGCAACGCGCTGGAATCAGTGTGTTAGCCTGGTCAATTGTAGATGTATAGGAGCAAGGGTGAATTACAGCTGCATTGTCGCCAAAGAAGGCCCTGACGAGGACAGTGCAGAAGCTGACGACGTCCCGAGTGGGCATGAGCTATAGCAGTAGAGCAGCACCTGATGGACTGGGGTAGAGCAGAGCAGAGTATAAGTATATCAGCAGTAAAGGAGCAAGTAGTATAGTATAGTATAGTAGAGTAGAATAAAGCAGCAGAGCAGAGTAAAGCAGCAGTCAACTCGGAGGCGCACACGGACGACGGAGAAAGAGAGCAAGAGACCAACAACCAGACAACCATCCAAAGCATCAAGGCACCCATCCATGTTCGCCCTCAACAAGCAGGCAACCATGCTCGCAGCACGGAGGACCATGGCCACAGCAGCACATGGCAGTGCAGCCTCTTCCTTCGCAGTCCGCAAGCAGGCAGGCATCCTCGTCGCTTCCCGCGATGATGGCAGGCCAACCACATCCCTCTCCGTCGTGATCCGCGCAGGATCCAGGTTCGAGAGCAGCCCAGGTGTCGCACACCTCCTCGAGAAGTTTGCATTCCAGGTATGCCTTCTTCGTTTTTATAGTACACGCGCTGACAACACTACTAGAGCACAGAGAAGCGGTCGGCTTTACGCATTACTCGCGAGGCAGAGCTCATTGGAGCGACACTCTCATCCCAAATCACCCGCGAGCACATCATTCTCGGGGCCCAGTTCCTCCGCGAAGACCTGCCATACTTCACCCAACTGCTCGGCGAGGTCTTGGCTCACACAAAATACACCCACTACACCTTACCCGAGAGTGTCTTGCCCCTAGCTCAAGTTGAGTACAAGGCCTCTCAACACTCCCCTCCTGCTCTGGCTGCTGATACATTGCACCAGCTTGCCTTCCGTCGTGGTCTTGGAAACCCATTGCTCGCTACACCCACTGTACCCGTCTCCACTGAGCAGGTGGCAGCCTACGCAAAGCAATCTTACGTCAAGGAGAACATTGCCATTGTGGCTACAGGTGTAGACCAAGCTCGACTCGACCAACTCGTCTCTGAGCACTTTAGCAGTGTTCCCTCCGGTGCGCAGGCACAAGTTTCTGAGAGCAAGTACTTTGGAGGTGAAGCGAGACTTCCTTACAGGTCAAGCATTGGACACTTTGCCATTGGCTTCCCAGGCGCAGCTGCCTCACCACACGTCCCAGCCGAGATGGCAGTGTTGGGTGCATTGCTCGGTGGATCGAGCAGTATCAAGTGGTCACCGGGAAACTCCATCCTAGGTCAAGCTGCAGCGTCGGTGAGTCCACAAATCAAGGCACTCGCCAACCATGGCACGTACACCGATACAGGGCTCTTTAGCATTTACATCATGGGACCTACCGCACAGATCCCTCAGGCAGCCAAGGCTTCCGTCAATGCACTCAAGCAGATTGCCTCCAAGGTCAGTGCTGAAGACTTGAAGCGTGCCATTGCTCAAGCCAAATTTGCCGCGTATGCAGCGGCTGAGGAGCGGACTCTGTCTGCTGAGGCCGTTGGACGGTCATTGTTGGCAGAAGGTAAGGCGCCTGCTGTTGAAGAGACCGTGCAGGCATTGGAGAAGGTGACGGCGGACAAGGTGCAAAAAGCGGCCAAGAAGTTGCTTGACAACAAGCCTTCAGTGGCCGCTATTGGTGAGACGCACAAGATGCCATTCTTTGATGAGCTCTAAAGTCAAAATACAGGATCACAATTAGAGATTAGGCCTAGTTGCTGTAGCTAGGTAATCAAACTACCTCATGGAAACATCTATGATTCAAATCCAAATACAGGAAAGTGCTTGGTGAAGGGGTATCGTATGGCAAGCTTCGTGCTGCCGACTTTGCCCGTTTGCATTTGTTGGGAAAGTTGGCTCAGGAACAAATTATTGGAGATGCATGTCGCCACCATAGCCTTCATCTCTGCTCGCTGGTGGTCAAGCACCTCTGGCAAGATTGACAGGAGCGGCGAGGGACTGCTCTTCATTGCCGCAGCTGCCTGTAGCCTGCCTTGATGGACGCCGTCGGCAGCATTCTTTTTGAGTTGCTGAGCGGTCAAGTCCGAGGTATCGAGACAGCTCCGTGTGTCTTGCCAGGTGAGTGCAGGCGGTGATACGAGTAGGTTGAAGGGTTTCATGCGGTATTCGTACAAGAGCGCACGACTGCTAAAGGGGCATCTGTCATCCTGGATAAGTTTGAGCTTTTTGAGAAGCTTCAAGAGCTGGTTGTTAGAATTGTACTGCTTGAAGAGAGCCTTACATCGATACAAGCTCTGCACATGACAATGAGGACTTCATTGTAGGTGATGACACTGTCCAAATGATCTCGCACCTTTTGATCTGATGCTGGTACACGATCTAGGTAAATTGTATTGAGATGGTCAATTTGCAGTGCAATCAAGTGTTCCAGCTGCAGGTACACAAGATCGAGTTCCCACGGCCGATACAACTCTTGCTCAAAACCCATAAACCAAATCTTGAGACTGACATCGAGTTTTGTGTTGAAGAGCCATGAGGACAAGGTGTATGAGAGACTGGTTCGTCCGTTGGTAAGCTGTTTGGGATGCTCTTTCGTGAGCGAGGCGAGTTCAGTATCTAGCAGCTCAGCCTCTCCTTGCAGCACATCTAAATCGAGCAGAACTTTGCATAAATTGCGTCGTTGTCTGCTTGGGTTGTGCCAGTAGATACGGTATAGGTCAAGGATGGGTGGCGTTGCCCGTTGAAGCAGCATCGTAATGAGCTGATGAATCTTGAATCGCTTGTCGGAGGGTTGTTCGACACGCGCGAGACTTGCATCAAAGTACTCGGGTCGCTTGCCACTCAATTCTTGTACTGCATTGATGAGATACCTTTCTTGTTCAGGAAGCGCTTTGAGTCCTGGACTTTCTTGGAAGTGTCTTTGCATGAGTGACCGTGTCAGTGGTAGATAGGGCAGTTCTCTGCATCGAAGAACCTCAAAGTATGCATGCATGACAGCAGGACTGTGCCGAGCATCACTTGAGATGACCTTCAAGGGTGCCATATCTGCACATAAGCGTTTCAGCAAGTCAACGGCAGCCTCAACAGACATGGTGACAATGGGACGTGGTGGTGTTGTACTTGCGAAGCGACGCTGTATCGTCGGGTTGAAGATGGCAGCCAGCGTGTCTGGTTTGAGCGTACACGCGGGAATGGTCATTTCTGTAAGTAGTGATTCCAATGTCCGCGCATTCAATTGAAGTGCTGTGGCATCGCTCATTTGACTTGTCAATTGAAGCCATGCCTGTCGTTGCTGCAGCCGCAAGGCAAGATGATCCAGTTGCTGTGCCTTGCACCAAGCAATGCCATCTGTCAAGAGTGCCTGAATGGTATGACTCGGTTCATCACTCAGCATACGCTCGTCAAAGTCATGCGCAGAGATGTCTTCCTCGTCATATAACCTGCCAGCCATGAATTCCTCTCTGACAAACTCACATGAACGAATCGTTGCTGCCACGTATGGGAATAGCACATGTTCGTGCAACGGATCATCGAGTCGGTATTTGGATGGATCACGATCTTGCAGGCGAGGGCCTAGTAGTGCTTGCACATAGACACAAGTGAATAGAGTCTGTGCTAGGCTTGCACCTGTCTGCCATGCCATTTCACTCGCAAGCAACTGATCCATAATGCTCAAGACTTCTTGTGGGCTCAATGCCTGGCTGCAATCATAAGAGCCGAGTGCCAGCTCTTTTGCATCAATCACACCATTATCCATCTTTGGATCCATAATCTCGAGAGCTGCAATGGAATCTTGCAGCTGAAATGTCTCGAGACGGATGAGCTCGCCAAGGTCGAGGGCATCTTCACAGGCTTTTTTAAAAGCAGCGGTAACATCCGTCATGTCTGTTATACCGTGACTCGACATAGCCAATAGCAGGTGTATAAAGCAGTCAGCCAGTGACTTATAAGCAGTCTTGGAGCATGCAGACCCGAGAGGCAGCGTCTTCAAGTGGACATGCTCGAGGATTGTCTTGCTTTGGTCTGATCGAATCTTGGAAAAGTTCAGCAATCAGATGGCTAGAATAGAACTACAGAGTTATATACTAGAACTCAAAGCTAACAATCAAGCGGCTTCTGTCTCTTCCTTGCATTCCATGAGAGCTTCGTTGCAATAGACTCAAACCAATCACCCGTCTGTTTCCCTCGCAAACACGTTGGAAAGGGGAATCTGCTAGCAGAGACACGTACATAGTCACCCTGCTTCAGCTCCACGCGATTTCGACCATCGAAACTCGCCCATGCTGTTGAACGCGAGTCATAGGCAACCGCGACTTGAAGGACCATGGAGTCTGGCACGAGGAGTGGTCGGAAGCTTAGTGTGTGAGGACAAATGGGCGAGATGAGAATGGTGGGTATCTATCGTTAGTATTGGATAGTGTTTGGTAGTGACATACCTCGGGATGACAGAGAGAGCCGCCGGCAGAGAGGGAATACGCTGTTGAGCCAGTGGGCGTTGACACAACCACGCCATCTGCAGAGATGCTCGTCAAATGTTCATCATCACCAAATAACTCGAGGGAGGAGAGTTGTGCATTCGGTCCACGATCCACGACCATATCATTCAGCACATTGAAGGACAAATCAAACTTGTGACTGGTTGAGACGGCATCACCATGTTTATCCATTGCCACGAGATCGGCATGCAATGTATCTTCCTTATTGATGAGTTGTCCATTTGCGTCTCGTGCTGCTCGAAACACGGCGCATTCAATACGCATACGCAATGCAGCCGTGACGCCCTCTTGCAGGACACTCGAGACTTGCTTTGGGTAGTCCTTGAAGTCGAAATTGGTCAGAAACCCAAGAGATCCCAAAGCGAAGCTCAAGACTGGTGGGACGATGCGCTGGAATAAACATGAAGCATGCAAGACTGTGCCATCACCACCCAACGTCAGTACCAAATCAAACAAGTGTGGTGATTTCGTGCATAATTCAGAGGTCCAGAACTTGATTTTCCCGGGATGATGTGCCTGTGCAGCGAGTTCCTTGACGGCTTCTTCCTCTTCAAAGCGTTTCTCAATGTACACGGTGTACCCGAGTGTTTTCTCAGAGCCACTACTGTGATTGCCATTAGAGGATTTGCGCTCCTTTTGCTGCAACAGGAGCCAACCACACAAATCCGCCATGAGCTTGACGAGACTATGATCGCCTGGTTTCGCAAGCACGAGGATCGAATGGATCTTGAGCTTGAGACGCGCTGCACCGAGGTGTTTTGAGAGTTCACGCACGCCAAGTGCCATGTCACTGACTTCCTTCTTTGTCAGGGCGCGTTTCTGGTCGATGGGTGTATGTGTGCCTGGCGGTGAGTCTGGTCGAGACGATGGCTCAGAGGTGCCATGACTCGCCATAGGCCGGTCCATACGAGCGCGTGAATCCAGTAGAGAATGGACGAAGCAGGCGGTCCGTTTATATCGCCGATGAGCGCTCCCTTGACGTCGTGGTGTGGCATGAGGTCGATCGGGATGGTTGCTTTCATCCACAGACGATTGTCGAGAGGGATGTTGGCTGTGTGAAGGTCTGTTTGGAGTACCTGCGCTCGTGTCTGCTGCTGCGTGGTCTCGAAGCGCCGAGTGCTGGTCGCGCTGCTCTGTCGCGCCATCGTCGTTGTCCATGTCATGATCCATGGCGGATGCAGCGAGTGATGGCTGTGTGCGCCTTTCTAGCTGTGGGTGAAGCTGTGCGCTTGTCCCTGCCTGGGCCTCGCTGCCATGGTCCATGTCTGCAGTCGTCAGGTATCGGCGTGGTCCTCGTCGTCATGATGCTACAACACAAACACAAACACAAGAAGCAGAAGAGGCAGAGACATGGATGATGGAGCAAGGAAAGACAGATCGATTGGACGTTCATAGCGCATATGACAACAGACTAGAACATATGCAAGGTAGAGAGAAGAAAGCAACTTGAATCATATGCTTAAGCCTCAGTAGCATCGGCGGACTGCTGGTCGACCTTTGCCTGGAGTCGCTGCTGACGCCTCTCCCTAGCAGCCTTTGCGCGTGCACGACGTGCCTCCTGGGTCTCTGCGATGTGCTTGGCGCGGGTCTCCTCCGACTTGGCCTGGTGGATGTGCTCAATCAAGGCACGCTTGTGCTTGAAGGTGTTTCCTTTTGCACTGGCATAGAGGGAGTGGTAGAGGTGGTTGGTGATCTTACCTGCATCTCTGTACTTGCGCAGCAATCGCCGCAAGACACGCTGGCGACGCATCCACACGACAGAAGAACGCAATCGGGCCTCTGAGGTACCGTGACGCTTACCGGCACCGGAGTGACGACCCTGACGCTTTGCATTGGCCATCTCTCGGACGCGCGATCGGCTGTGGACGACGGTTGGCTTTTTGATGATGAGACCATCCTTGATGAGCTTGCGGATGTTTTGCCTGGAGTTGGCGCCTGCGATCTCAGTCTGTTCGCTGGGGTCCATCCAGACTTTGCCCTTGCCGACCTTGAGACATGCTGCAGCGAGCCTCTTTTGCGCAGTGAGGTTCTGTGTACCGGCCTGCATCTGTTAGTGCTGCTGGCTGTGTGTATGAGCTGCGTACCATTGTGATGCCCTTGTGAGTTGCTGGGTGTTCTCCTTGGCTATTGCTCTTGTCTGCTGCTTGGCTGTTGCTCGAGTCTGCGGTGGTGTGGCTGCAGGGGTTGATTATTGTGACTGCGATGTTGGGGCACACAGAGATGATTGGGACACACGCGCTACTCTACTCTACTTCTACTCTATACTACTATATATTGGACTATACTACTGGACTATACTACTGCTAGACTGATACTACTACTGAACACTAGACACTACACACATAGAGAATGCTAAATATCTCACCAGCTGACATCGTCATCCTCAAACTACCCTCGGGCCAGCACAAACCCATCAACCTCAAAGACCACAGCTCAGTCTGCTCTCTCGGCAAGTTCGGTGCCTTCGAGACAAAGCATCTCGTCGGCAAGCCATATGGCCACACCTACGAGGTCAATAAAGATAGATCCCTCTCTCTCGTCTCTCAGCGAGTCCACATAAACCCACTCGATGATAGTGGCAATAATGAATTCATTATCGATGCAAACCAAAGCAATCAGGCACTCTCACAAGAAGAAATCATGGCCCTGCGTCAAGCAGGCGACAGTGAAGCCCTCATTCAAAAGCTCAAGGACAATAATAAATCCTTTGACCTCAAGACAGACTTCTCCAAGGCCAAGTATGAAGCTAAGAAGCTCGCAAAATACTCACCTCAATTCACAGCAATCGAGCCCAATGCCCTCGGTGTCTTGACCTGGCTCACGGAAAAGGACTGGGAGAGCGTTTCCTTCCTCACTGCAGAATCCTTGGCGTATATGCTCACTGCTGGTGATGTACGGCCAGGTGCGCACTACCTCGTTGCAGAGAGCATCAGTGGCTTGCTCGTGGCTGCCTTGCTCGAACGCGGTGCCATTGTCACCTTTGTCCACGAGACAGAAGCACCTACCCTCGATAACCTCAAATACTTTCCGCACTTGGACGAACTAGCATTAAAGAAGCAAGGCAGGTTATTTGCCATGAACTGGCATGAAGCGGCGTATCCAGATGAAGTGATTGCTGAACTAGAAGCCTATGTCGCTGCACGCAAAGACTCTACCATCCACAAGGATGAGGAGAAAGTGGCACGCAGGCAAGCACGGATAGAGCAACTCAAACTCTACCAACAACGAAGCTTTGATGGACTCTTCCTCATGACTGAGACAACTGCCACCTCCACCCTCCCATTGCTCTTACCCAAATTGGGACTCAGTCGCAAAGTATGCATCTACAGTCCAACCAGAGAACCTTTGCTCGCTGTACGGCAATTGCATAATCAACCATTACTCGGTCAAGCCATTGTCGAGCTGCGAGCTAGAGAGATCCAAGTCTTACCTGGCCGGACACGCCCAGTAATGACGAAACGCGGCGAATGGGGTTACATCTTCCAGTGAGTCGTTTGTTCCTTCACCACGATTGACTAACCATCCTAGTGCCATCAAAATTGAACGACTACCAGAGACGGTGGCGACTGGTGTGAAGCCTGCCAAGAAGCTCAATCGACCCCGAGCAGAGGAGACCGCAGAGACCACGGATAGTGAGCCCGCTGCCAAGAAGCATCGGGATGCTTAAGGTCAATCAAAGTCTCAGGCACTGTCGTACGAGTGATCTGATGCCTCTTCGGCACTGAGTATGCCTTCCTCCTGCGCAGCCTGCTGCTGCTGGTGCTGTTCCTGCGGAGGTTCGTCTTCTTCATAGCTCGACTCCATATCAAAGCTCGCGCCATGCTCAACAGATCCATCCAAGTCATGCTCATGCTCGTCCATCTCCGTCAAAATCTCCTCCTCCTCACCCTCCATCGCTTCACCATCCTCATCCTGATACTGCTCATACGACGCGCTCACCTCACCTGCCTCCTCCTCTTGCTGTGCCAACGTCTTGCTGCATCCAAACGGACGGATCCATCGATCACCGAACCGAGCGATTGCTGTGTCCTTGTCTTGTTTACGCGCTTCAAGGGCGCAGATACGCGTTGTATTGCGCGAGGAGCTTGTGTAGGATGGATCTGCTTCACTTCGTAGGACTTGTACGCTCGTTTGAGCGCGTGATGCTTGCCATATCTCATGCGCTAGTTGCGGATAGAAGGACGTCATGGTGCTAGAAGAGTCTAACTAGCAAATCATGGTGATAGAAGAGTCTGACTAGCAAATGAGCATGAAAGCAGGTATCAAGACCTAACGGAAAAAGCTATGGCAGACCAGATCTATCACAGAAGACGGGGATACGCGGACAATTGGAGAGAGACAAAAGAGACATGCGGGTGCAGCCTAACAGCACGAGCTGCTTGACCCAGTCCCAACATTCTGACCCGCTGCAATCTTCACAGTCGCCTTACCACCCGTATTGACATTCGCAGCGCCCATACGTTCCTTGATCTGCCGAGCCATTGTCAAGAACGCCTGCTCGACATTCGTTGCCGACTTGGCGGAAGTCTCCAGGAACGGGATGGCGAGACCATCAGCAAACTCCTTGGCAACTGTGTACTCCACCACTTTCTTATCCGTCATGTCAGACTTGTTGCCCACCAGCAGCTTGTTGACGCCTTCAGTGGCGTAACGGTCGATTTCTTGGAGCCATTGCTTGACATTGCTGAATGTATCTTTTTATTGTTAGCCATGTATTGACGAAATATTGCTGATATTGAGCATACCCTGGTCTGTCACATCATAGACGACGATGATGCCGTGCGCTCCACGGTAGTATGACGAGGTGATGGTCCTGAAACGTTCCTGGCCTGCTGTATCCCACTACCGTATTAGCCAATTGTCTTGATGCATAGGTCGAGTACAATTTGCAGTTTGACAGTCTTGCCTTCGAGTTCAATGGTTCTGATTTTCTGCAGAAAAGCGTGTCAGCCTCATATCAGAGCGCGAGTGAAGCAAAGGCCCTTACAAAGTCAACGCCAATGGTAGAAATGTAAGACTCGGTGTAGGTATCGTCGGCGAAACGCAGGAGCAGACAGGACTTGCCGACGCCGGAGTCGCCGATGAGAAGAAGCTTGAAGAGGTAGTCTAGATGGAGCGGGTCAGCATGTATAGAAATAGAGCAGACTGGCCTGTGCGCGAGGGTGTGATGGGGACTAGGGAAGAAGGAGGAGGAATATGCTGGCCTCTCTTGCCCTTGCATCCTCTTCCACACACATGCGCAGACGCCAAGGAGAAGAGAAGGTACCGTATTCAGGTGCGCTCATGATGGACTACTGGGTGATGGAGTGGATGCCTTGCGTGCTGCTTCTAGTCTAGGTCCAGTAGCAGTAGCAGTAGCAGCAGCAGCAGTGGTCGTGGTCGCAGTGATGATGCTGCGTGTAGGGTTAGAGTAAGCCTGGCCAGGAGACGCGACAGAAGAAGCCAATAAGCTATAGACTAGTATAGAAGAGCCTACTTCTCGTCGACGAGCATAGCTAGAGCATGGCCGACCTCAGGCAACGCAAGGCCAAGCTAGACCCCAGCCAGGCCCAGCTTCAGCAAGAGGCAGCAGCTGTCCTCGAGAAAGTGGCAGGCAAGCTTCAATCAACAGCCCCTAGTCAGGTAACACACACATACTCCGTCCACCCCCAGGCAGCGCGCCTCCTTACCCTCCTTACTCTCAGGAGGGCAAGGGGCCAGTCAGGAGATACGGAGGCTGCTATATGAACGAAGTAGCTGACACGGCAACAGACATGGACGCAGCAGGATACCCTCACCTACCTTATCCTCCCCGGCATATTCGCCGCGCTCGCCCTCTTCACGCGTCTTTGGCGCATCGGACGCTCAGAGATTGTCACCTGGGACGAGGCACAGTATGTTCTCATCGAGGAATCACGTCAGTGACATGCTAATCAACCTCACAGCTTCGGCAAGTTCGCATCCCACTACCTCAAGCGGGAATTCTACTTTGATGTGCATCCACCGCTCGGCAAGATGCTCAATGGCCTTGCAGGCTACATCGCAGGCTACGACGGCTCATTCGAATTCAAGTCTGGTGAAAAGTACCCCGAGGGCCTTAACTTTGTCTTTATGCGCGTCTGGAACGCAATGTTTGGTGCAGCATGTATTCCCCTCGCCTACTTCACCGCTCTTGACTTGGGCTTGTCTTTACAAGCAACATGTCTTGTGACATTGATGGTCCTCTTTGACAACACCTACGCCACCATCTCCCGCTTCATCCTGCTCGACAGCATGCTCCTCTTCTTCACCTTCACAACCATGTTTTGCCTGGTCAAGTTCCACACCTATAGGAATCGCGAGTTTTCATACCGCTGGTTCAAGTGGCTCACCCTCATGGGTGTCTCGATTGGTTGTGTGTGCAGCATTAAGTGGGTTGGCATGTTTGGCACAGCGCTCTGTGGCCTCTACACCATGCATGACCTCTGGGACAAGCTTGGTGACTTGCGCATGTCGAAAGTCACCTATGCAAAACACTGGGCGGCTCGCATTACCTCATTGATTGTGGTGCCTGTTGCTGTGTATGCATTCATGTTTTACATTCACTTCCAGGTCCTCGAAAATAGCGGGCCGGGCGATGCTCAGATGCCGTCGTTGTTTCAGGCAAACTTGCGTGGCACAGACTTGCTCTCATCGCCCTTGGAGCTGGCTATCGGCTCGCGTGCCACCATCAAGAATATGGGCTACGGTGGTGGTCTCCTCCACTCGCATGTCCAGACCTTCCCAGAAGGCTCACAGCAGCAGCAGGTGACGTGTTATCACCACAAGGATGCCAACAACGATTGGTTCTTCTACCCGGCTCGTGAGGAACCGGAGTACAACCCAGATGACACGACTGCCCCATTGCGCTTCTTAAAGGACACATCGATCGTGCGACTCGTTCATGCTCAAACAGGACGCAACTTGCACAGTCACTCGATTGCTGCACCTGTTACAAAGGGCGACAATGAAGTGTCTTGTTATGGTAACTTGACGGTTGGTGATGACAAGGATCATTGGCGCATGGAAGTCGTCTCAGATATCCGTTCTCGCGACCGAAGCCGTGTGCGTACACTCACGAGTGCTGTACGATTCAAGCATGTCTCTGGAAACTGTTATCTCCGTGCGGCCAACGTCAATCTCCCACAATGGGGTTTCAAACAAATTGAAGTAACGTGTGATAAGAAATCAAAGCCCTCGGATGTCTTTTCCCACTGGAACATTGAGAGTCATTGGAATGATCGTTTGCCGCCAGCGTCCGCCGCTGATTTCAAGTCACCCTTCTGGCGCGATTTTGTTCACTTGAATGTGGCCATGATGACGAGTAACAATGCACTGGTGCCGGACCCGGACAAGGCAGATGAACTGGCCAGTCAAGCGTGGCAGTGGCCGATTGCTTGGGTGGGTTTGCGTATGTGTGGTTGGGATGATGGTACCGTCAAGTACTTCTTGCTCGGTAATCCTGCTGTGTACTGGTGGTCCACTGCGAGTTTGGTCATCTTGGGTGTGTTGGTGACTTACCATGTCCTCCGCTGGCAACGGTCGAGCCCAGCACTCACAGCACGGGAAGTGGACAAATTGATCTATGCGGGCATCTACCCTGCCATTGGTTGGTTCCTCCACTACATTCCCTTCTTCATCATGGGTCGTGTGCTGTATGTGCACCACTACTTCCCAGCCCTGTGGTTCGCCATTCTCGTGACAGGCTACTTGTTTGATCACTTCACCGCTCGCTTGCCAAAAGGTCAACGACAGATCATCTTTTGGACGGCATATGCCATCATCACAGGTCTCTTTGTTCTATTTGCTCCCTTCACCTTCGGTATGGTTGGGAATGCCTATAAGTACAGACACCTGCAATGGTTCAAGTCTTGGCGCGTGCACAATGGCGAGCCGGCGACCTTTTTGGGAGAAGTGGCGAGTACGGCACAGGCGTTGCAGGAGGGTGCCCAGGCAGTGGTGGAGAGTGTGTCTGAGGGTCTTGTTGGTGCATGAGTCTCTCCTGACTAGAATCTCCTGAGTCTCCGTGCTCTTCCCCTTAATTCACTTCTGGTACAAAATAGATTGCTGACATAATCCCCTGCACGTGCCTGCTCCACTCAGAAACTCAATTTCAACCAGCATCCAGCAGGCATCTATACCAGTCTGTAGCCATACTCTAGCTCATCTACACAACGGCCCTGTCCTCGAGACCTCAAGAGTCACACTTCCATGCCATGGCGCACATAGGGCCCATGGTCACAGCACACGAAACGCCTGCACCCACCAACGCACCCATAATCGCGCCACCAACCATGCAACCCGAGGCCGCCATGACACGCAGCATTGCGCAGACGCAACATGCCCCCGACGCCGGCCTCGTAGCAGACATCAAACCGGATCACTACTGGGCAGATGGCGCAATTCCCGTCTTCAAACCAACAATGCAACAATTCAAGTCATTCCCAGATTTCATCAAGAAAGTAGATCGCTATGGCATGAAAGCTGGTATCATCAAAGTCATACCACCAGCAGAGTGGCTTGCACAGCTTCCTGATCTTGATGACAAAGTAATTCTTCTCAGCTTCCTCATGTCCGGTGCTAATATCTCTAGGTTAAAGACATCCGCGTCAAATCCGCCATCGAGCAACAATTCGCCGGCACAGGCGGCGCTTTTCGACAGATGAACCTCGAGAAGCAACGCTCCTACAACCTCCAGCAATGGCGCAAGATTTGCGACTCCCTCGAACATCAGCCGCCTGCGAAACGCGGCAAAGTACGCGCAACAGGAGGTCTTCGGTCGACAACTGCGGCGGCCGTCGCAACAGAGAGATTGGCGACACCGCCGTTGAGTACAGATTCAGACTCGGAGCCTGATGCGTCTGTTGAGAGACCGCGATCAGCAACGAAGCAGCAGCATAAAAAGGGCCCATCGCCCGCGAAAAAGGAGAAGCGCATTGTGAATGAGGAGGAAGACTTTGACTATCGCATAGACGACAATGATCAGTACACCACTAAGCGATGCGAAGAGCTGGAACGCGCATACTGGAAATCCCTTACCTTCAATAACCCCATGTACGGCGCTGACTTACCCGGCTCCTTGTTTGATGACGGCACAAAAGACTGGAATGTCGCACATCTTGACAACATCCTCAACCGTCTCGGCGTCGTCCTACCGGGTGTCAACTCTGCCTACCTCTATCTCGGTATGTGGAAAGCAACCTTTTCCTGGCATGTCGAGGACATGGATCTATACTCCATCAATTACATCCACTTTGGAGCCCCTAAACAATGGTACTCCATCGCTCAGGAGGATAATCAAAAGTTTGAGCGCGTCATGAAGGAGATCTTCCCCAACGACGCACGTAACTGCTCCCAATTCATGCGACACAAGACATTCGGTGCCTCTCCAGCACGTTTAGCACAACATGGCTTGCATGTCAATAAACTCGTGCACTACGAAAAGGAGTTTGTCATTACATTCCCCTATGGTTACCACTCTGGCTACAACATGGGTTACAACTGTGCAGAAAGTGTCAATTTCGCAACCGATTCCTGGCTAGATTTTGGTCGTGTTGCGCAAAAGTGTGATTGTGTAGCCGACGCAGTGAGTATCGACGTGCGCGACATTATTCGCCAGCTTGACGGGTATAGTGAGTCGGACATGTCGGATTCAGAGGGAGACGAATCGATGCTGACACCACCGCGCTCTGTCGATGGCTCAGCCAAGCGCAAGCCTTCGCGTAAACGCAAGCTTGGAGCAACGGCTCAGGCATATAAAAAGACGGGCGCCTTGTTTCATGGCAAGCGATTCAAGATTAGTCTCCCAAAATCTCCTTGCAGCTTGTGCCCAAATATAGCGTCGGATGAGCCATTGCTCAAGACGGACGACGGTCATTCGGTGCATCGCATCTGCGCCGAACTCTTGCCAGAAACACAGATTGAAGAACACCCTGATGGCTCCACCACGGTGACAGGCTTCAACCTCATCAACAAGGATCGCTTCTCACTCAAGTGCTCATATTGCCGAGCGACGCATGGCGCCTGTTTCCAGTGCTCTTCAGCCAAGTGTGTTCGCTCATTCCACGGGACCTGTGCTTATATGGCGGGTGTCCTTGTTGAGAAATTGCCTGCGACCATTCAGCCAGAAGCGTTCACCTTCCAATGCAAGTCGCATCGACCCCGTCGACTCGCAGTGGAGCAAATGGAATTCGATACAAACCTTGCGCATTTCGTTGAGAAGCTGGCTGTTGGCGAAATTGCGCAGTGTCAATATGCAGCAGGTCTGCCATTCGCTGGGCGGGTGCTTGAGAATCGCGCTGCTGAGCGGACTGTGCTCATGCGCGTACTCGGTACAACAGACTTTGAGATTGAGGTCGATTATCGCTGGGTTATGACGAAACCCCGTAGAGTAGCCATGCCTGCTCGACCCTCTGTCTCATCGATCCTGGGCACTGCCGCAGGTATCTTGCCGCCTGCGTTTGCAGTGCCACAGCCGCAACCTCTTGCTCAGCCAGCAGCAATAGTGCCTGATTCAACGGCGCTTGGACCGAGTCCAACGGCACTAGCAGCCTAATTCAATACTTACAAGTTTATGTACAAATAGCGTATCGGCGTAATTAAAGCGATTCAGGATGTTCAAGAGTGCTTCCATCTATAAACAATGTATGCCAAGCCATGTACAGCTGTTGCTTTTCTATAATGCAGTGCGATGTCACCTCTGATGCGGGTAGTAATATGGACCACGAGGCCCGTTGTTGTGGTATCCTTGACTGTGCGGGGGATAGCCGTCTCCCATCCGGTTGTTTTGATTCACTGGGTAGCCGCCACGATGAACGGGCGGCAAATCCCGTGGATGAGGATTGCCGTTCAGGATGGAGTCGATTGAATTGCGCGACAATGGACGGTCAGACTTGTCGGATGGGCCAAGGGGGATGTTGGGTGGACCGGAACGATCATGCCGCATGTCAAATGAGCCACGTTGGTTGCCATACTGAGATGGCATACTCTGCATAGATGGATGATGCGGATGATGTAGCTGCTGAGGGTGCATGTGAAATGATGGGTGCTGAGGCGGCCCTCCAGGACCACCGCGATAGTCGTACGATGACTGTTGTGGGGCTTGACCGAACGGGTGGGCACCCATGGACATGTAGCCTCCAGGACCCTCGGGTGGCCTGCCATAGGGAAACATCGGCTGATTCTGTGGAGGAGCCGGAGGTCCTTGGTTATAGGCACTGTAAGGGCTTGTATACTGACCAGGACCCTGCACAGACAGCATTGGTTGAGGACGATATGAGCCTCCACCATGACTCGGACCCGACGGCACCTGCTGTGGTTGCACAGGTGCATGTTGCTGCTGAGAGTAATGACTGTAGCTCTGCTTATTAGAACCATATCCAAAAGCAGGTGGATCATTTCTGGGCTCTGACAAGGCTGCTGGCCCGCCGGATCGGGGCAGATATTGCCGATAGTTGCGTTCCACTAAGTAGTCGTCAAAGTGACGCTGTACTTGAGCGAGCGATTTTCCCGGCATCCACGATGTAATCGCGCTGAAATCAGATCCATAGCGCTTGAGCAATACAATGAATTGTGCCTCGTCTTGATCTGTCCAAGCAAATGGTCGATTGTTGGGGTCAGCCTGAGGAATTCTCG